GACGATACATGGGAACCCCGAACAAATCTTACCAACACCGATGAACTTCTTCATGAATTCCACCAGCAACACCCAGATGCAGCCAAAGCACCAATCAGGATCGTCACTTTTGGTGGAAAACGCTTCGAATTATCCTCATATGAAGTTGCACCAATCTCCACACACCGAATCAATATGTCCGACCATCCAGACGAGTTCTTCCTATATCATAAGATGACAGATCTCGCCAAATCACCGAAAAAATCCTCAAATGAAGCAGCAGGATGGAATATTTATGCAGCAGAAACGCATGAAATCCCCCCGCATTCACGAGCTGTGGTAGGAACGGGAGTCGTGATTGACCCTCCCAAACATACCTATACACGAATAGCTCAACACAGCGGACTGGCTGCACAAGGAATTGACGTGGGCACAGGAGTCGTCGATCCAGATTACACTGGGGAACTCAAGGTCGTACTAATCAACACAACGGATTTCGTATTTTCGGTCAAGCCAGGAGATAGAATAGCCCAAATAATCTTCGAGTATTATGCAGAAGGGCTTCCCTCCCGAAGCTACCAACCGTTGCGAGCAACTAGAAGGGGTAATAAAGGTTTTGGCTCCTCGGGACAATGAGCCTTGAGAGGGGGGTAGTGTCACAGATTTTCGCCACAAAGTCCGCACGTGACTTTTCTCACACCACAGATCATGTGCTTCACCAATATCTCACGCCACTCAGCCACAGACATGACACGTAGAGATCAGGTGATAGTCCACATCACATGTTATGGTCCAGACCCGTGGATGATACGGTCGGACCTGTCTATTCCAGGATACAATAGAGGCACCCATTTGGGAACAAAGGGAACAAGGACTATTGTTATGCATCGGCCTTCCGCTTCCTATTAGTTTAGCCAGAAGCCTAGATAGGCACGATGTTCACACCAAAGAACAAAAGGGAAACCAAGATAGGCACGATGTGCACACGCATTACTGCGGCAACCATCAATCTTCCCACTTATTGTTCTACTTCCAGACATCCTATTGTTTCATGTACGGCCATTTGCTTATACCCGTAGATAGGTAGCTTAGGTAAGATAGCCTGCTGTACGTGTATATAAGACCAGCCATGTAGGGGACGAAACCTCAGATTGTTTCTCCTCGTCTACTACCTGTAGCACTCACTGAGCTCACCAGCTCCTTCATATATCTCTCACCCTTTCCTGCGCCTGCCACATCGACCAGTAAGTCAACAGGCTCTTGCGCCACATAGGGTTCAGGGGGATACTCTTGGGATCAGGGGGATCAGGGTGGCACGTTCCACGTGACTGTCCCTTTTTAGTCTTTTTGATCTCTTGTCCGGTGTTACCGTGACACAAGTACCGAAAAATAAATGGTGGTTGTGATGAATATTCATTCGCGTCTTTGAATTCATGATTCCTCGATTGTGCGTGTGAACGTATATTGCATGTTCATGAACGGATGCCGTCTAATTTGAGGAAGGCACAGAAGCATTATTTCAAGAGTCTCAGGTGCAGTAGTGACAGTGGATTCTACAAACAGAGAGCGACATGCTCGATGCCGAGCAATGCCGGGCAATTGGTTATTTACCCATATCGATCACCGAGAGACCCCGATCACCTTGCCTGTGGCTTCATGCAGAGGACCGATTTAAATAAGGTCGAATGTTATCCAGGAGCCCCCCCTCGGCTAGTCGAATAGGTTGCCAAAAAAGATATTACCAGGAGGGCCAGGAGGCAGTGCACGCCGTGCGAAATATCGACGTACTTCCTGCCTTATCACAAACTGACCAGCACAGTGACCACGGTGCCAGATATGACTATCATGGTGGAAGGCAGTCGTTAGAGGGTGTTCGGCTGGTATACACTGCCTAGATACTGTGCCGAACGCCTATAAGTACAGTGCTCGCCTTCGATGACATGTCAAACTTGCTCAAATTCGTCGATTCCATTAATATATCATATGCAAAACCTTAAACCACCAGGGCGGGATCCTAGGAATCCACATATGAGAATGGTGCCCCTAAGGTTGGCCGGTGCACTCGCTCAGACAAGACCTTACACCATCGTTCGATGAGTTCAGTTTCACTAGCGTGCTCAGAATCTGACACAGCAGTGCTTTGGGAGCATCTCTAAATTGATATATGGATGCCGGCGCGCGCAACAATTTGTTGTACTTTTCCCAAAGCAGTCAAGCACGCATAAGTTCTACATCACCTTCTGATGAGACTGCATTATGCATCGAGAGGCTGTATGGAACCACAGCTATTCGGAGTAGTGCACAGGCTACTGCCATATATCTGCGCAGATGCAGAACATGTGTTGAACAGATCCAAGTCCGTTGTGCGGACGGCAGCTCGTGGTAGTCTTGAAATAGATTCTTGCTGACAGGATGTGCGATCGGAATGTATGCGAAGTGACATTCAACTGCAGCCTGGAATTTGAAGCTTATTGTAGCAAATCTCATTGGTCAGTTCAAATTTTATCTGTACTTTTGTCTCAGATAAAATGACGAAACTCTCGATGTCACGAAACGAAGGAACGGCTGATCCGCTGCATAGACGTCGGCACCCAGTTTCTGAAGCTGCTTCTTAGAGAAAAACGAGAAAGAAACAGCGTTGGACATCTGGGCAAGACAAAACCAGTACTTGCGTACAGCAGTCTACATACACGCGAGCGAAAATAGTCAGAGGAAATCAATGAGGAGCGTTCGAATGCTAGAGCGGGTGTCAGCTGTGAAAACATTCGTGATGATAGCTACGCACCTCAACGCACAGATAGAAGACCTCTCCACAGACCGAATCTCATCCCTTTTTTGGCATGTTCCATCGACCTACTGCTGGGCTTACGAGCACGTACTTCACCTCGACTTTGCCCACTTTTTGCTTTTCCTTCGTAGTGGTTCTCGCAGCTTTCGTCGCTTTTGCCATGATCGACTTGATCCGTTCGTAGCCTTTATCCGAACCCCCGTGTTCCGAGCTGACTGTCATTTGTAAGATCCATACAACGGGGTAGACGGTGTTGCCGACGAGCTTGAAATTGACACAGAAGGCATCAAATAGCGGGTTATTGATGAACTCTGGTGTCCAAAAGTATTCACGAAATGATTTCAGTCGGTCATCATCAACTTTGAACGATTTGTTGGGAAAATAAGCGATTTCTTGCTTCCTATGGTGTTCGAACGGATTTCCACCATTTGCAGGACCCGATTGCACAGTGAAAGACCTGGTTTCGGTGCCGGAACAGTTTTCTTTGCATGCCATCGGAATAAGAGACGAGGACTGATCCTTTCCAGATGAAAGGATGTTGATGGCATATCGTTCGTACACCCAGCCATTAAAAGAAGCAGCGAATGAAACACCTTTGAAATGGTTGAGTATCTTCATCAAGTCGACGTTTTGCAGAAAATCGAGACGCTCAAGGATTTGAGTCTTGATCCAACATGATTTGAATTCGACTTGGGAATCTTCCCACTTATCCACGCTGTCACCTGCGTGCTTGGCTTCTATGACGAAAAGGGTATGAGAGATGCTAGTGTCGGTTATGGTGGTACCATCGGGTTGCATTTTCGAAATCGTCTCAACCAAGGTGTCGAAATTCAGCTCGTTCAGCTGTTTCGAAATTGAGCGTCTTAGATCTGCCGGATCCATGATTCCTTTGTAGACATCTTGCGCCGAAAACTCGAATGCACCCATGGAGTCGTCCAGAAACCTTTCGATCACGTTCTCCACTGTTCGCCTTTTGATGTCGTCATTGTTCATTTCCTCACCTATGACCATAGCGTCAACAACACCCATAGCCCCCCCCCTCCCCGCCATCAACGTCCATACCGTTGCTCGCATTCATCCGTTCTGTTTCAATGTCCTGCGAGGCAGAGCAAATCCGGTGATTGAGATCCCTCGAACGTTCGGTGTCCGTAGTCAAGCTGCCATGGAATTTGACTTGATATTCAATCTTTTTCCAAAGGTCCTGGTAAAAACGCTGCACCCGAAGCCTTGTAAGCGTCAGAATGTTATTTTCGACGACCATAATTAGATCTCACCCCTTCAGCAATTCCTTTCTCGTCCACAAAGGCATATACAACAAGGAAACCATTCCAGCACCATGCTTGTAATATACAGAGTAATGTTTTGGGTTTGGAGAAGAAGCAATGATGGGGAAGGTTCGCCTGGACCCAGTCATGAAGGCAATCGTGCGCTCGCCATCGTCCGTGTCCATGTTGATGAGACAACGTGTCAAGCGCGTGTCGTCGACGGGCGGAAATGTTACTTTGCTTTCATAACGGCGCCTATAGACTGCCTTTTCATAGAAAATATATGTTCCCTCGCTACAATAATAGGCGACTGGGTCATGCTTGCTCAGGAGACACACGAGCTCGAATAACAGCCATACCGTCTTTTCTGGGTGTGCAATGATTATTTAGAGGGGCACGATTGGGGGGCAGGACTAGGACGCACCGATTCCGGGCTGACCAGTAAGAATAAGGCCAGTGTCTCGGTCAACACTATCTCGCTTAAGTGTTTCCGAGATATAGTTGTGTAACGATTTGTAACAAGAGCGGACGATGATGTCGTTCAGCCTGGATAACACTGTTGATATGATGTCACCTCTCGGGTCGCTTTCAGTGAATGAGATGGTAGACTTGTTGAAGGTCGTCGCGAAGTCCTGATTCCACCAATAATTGGCAAATTTATTCCATTCATCCGTGGCATGAAGCTCATCCCATCCTTCCTGCGCCAGGATCCACTCATCGTCTCAAGAAGAATTGTGTCAAGAGATAACTCGCTGCCTCCAGGAGCTGAGAGCACTCACCCGTTGTCTGTCTGCCTGTTTTGAGCTTCTTGATTGGTGGAGCGCCTATTGAACTGTGAGACACATTAGTTCGAAGTGAAGTTACACAAATCATTCACTTTCATCGCCCTCTCCGTTGGCATCCCTGGACATGGAGACATCTCCATCAAGAGCGATAAATTCTGTGGTGGCCGGAACCTCCACTGTGTAGGGAAAAATTGTGAGCAGCCTGTATCGACCCGATGGCAGACACTTGAAAACGCACCGGCTACATCAATACCAGGTGCACCTTCTGCTGTGGCCGGAATCTGCACGGTCACCTCTGTATATAGAAGATGAGAGACATTTGAGCCAGATGAGGATGAAGAAGAAGGTAGAAGCATACCGGGCTTTTGCACAAGGAGAAGCTCCTTAGGTTCAAGTTCGAGCTCTGCCATTTCCTCCATTGGGTCAAGATTCTGGAAGTTCTCGTCACCCGGGAGATTGAAGGACTTGAGAAAGGACACGTCTAAACCCTTAACTGCGAATAGATTCCGCTTCTTGCATCTCCATGCTGTGAGATCGGAGGCGTCCACATGTTCGAGGCTGTTCTGCTTCTTCGTCTTAACCTTCTCCATCAAGTGAGCGACGGTGTCTCCAACGCGAAACCTGACAAGGAAAATGTAACCCATCGGCTTCCACTCATGTTCCTTGCGCTCGATGAGCAATCACCAGATTTCGAAAGTATCAGACATGGCCGGAGATGAGTTAGTTCGCGGTGATGCTAGCGCTTAATGGTGCTGATGTGAATCACGCATCACGCCGTCCAGCGCCAGTCACGCTTTGTCACGATCCCTCCGAGACTTTTATGGGGGCTCATCGATCATCAGCGCAGCTTGCAGCGACCATTTAGCTTAGTAGCTTGAAAAGTGATGCACTTTTTTATTAATGCTTGTGAAATGTACGGACATGAGCTAACTAACAGTCTGACGCCAAGGGAAGAAGGCAGGGTGTTGGAAATACTCTCAGTACCTCATAGAACGAGACAAAGTATTGAGGTGGCAGGAATCTACGGCGCGCAGACAAGACTGCAAGAATTCACGCAGTGACTGTAACCCGAACATAATCACCAACACTCCCCCTCGAACACTCCCCCTCGACGAAGAGCGTATAGATGAGGCGAGAGTGAAGGAAAGAAAGAAGGAGAGAAAAGGAGAGATGTTCGCTAGGGATATGTTTGACTTGATAGGATGTGAATGTGATGGAGATAGGAGCAGAGTTTCCGATGAGAAGTCTGAGTTGAGAATGTGATATATGAATGAGCGAAAGAAGTATGGAAAGAAGTGCTGTGGTACAGAAGTCCAGAGACACTGTCATTCTAAGCCATGCCCAAAAGAACGACGCAACGTTGATGGGCTGTCTTCTCTAAAGCCTTTGTGAAAATGTCGGCTGGATTCGAGTCTCCACGAATCTTGCAGAATGATGAATCATGCGTCGGTACGGAGGAGCGGCTGATCGCCGACAAGGTCGAATTGCATCGCGTTCGCAGACAATTTGAATCCCTTCGAATCTATGAAATGAGGAAGGCGTGATAGCGTACCACCAATTCCTCTCATAGAATCGAGGGCTCCGTTTGAGACTCAAGGCAGTCTCCCACTACACCCGATGGTCGCACAGCATTTTGATTCAAGAACATCAAACGGCTACTAACATCTGCTAAAATACCAACTGTAATGCCAGCAAAGTAGAACGTCTCACGTTCTCATTCTGAGCCTGTCTATGAGAAGGCAAGAGGATATGTTATAACCATTACTGGAACCAGAAAATGACACGCGTCCTGACGAACCGACCATCAGTCGAAGTTCCCTTTTTCTGCCCACTACACCTTTGTCACAGATTGAACGACGATTGGAAGTTCTGGTTTGAGGCTCTCTTCGCCGACTGTAGGGAACCTCACCGTGGCAAAGTTCCAAGTGACAGGCTTCTTGGATGGCGAGAACGAAAAGGACTCCACCAGGACCGACAGCAGGACCTCTTGAAGATAAGCGATATATTCGTCAGCAGAGTCTTTCCAAGGACAGCGATGGGAACGTACTCATGTCTAACTCGGCGAACTTGAACCCGCTAAAGGACAGACACATCGTTAGTCGCGACACCATGAGACCTATACCTCACTTACATGCATGCCCTCGTGCCTCCAGAGAACGTCATTCTATACGTCCAAGATGTATGAGATTCCAATCATCATGCCGCCAAAATGTTATATGGCTCACATGGAGGAGAATATGCCAGGAATATGGCTTCCGGCGACTGTATCAGGCAAGGGCGACAACCAGCGTCCAGGTTTCCACTCCGATGCGTCCTCTCCCCAGATTGCTTTGCTTCGATTGAGTGCAAGTATACCCACGAAGGTAAAGGTGCCTTTAGGCACGACGATTTCGTGCATCATCTTCCCATCAACTCCACGAATAGGAGAAGAAAGCGAAACGGTTGCGTCCCTTTTTGCTCTACAAGGTGGTCAGAAATGAATGAGGAATATGACGACGATGCTCACTGGCGAACGATGACTGAGCCAGGCGGATTTCTGCACGAGAAATAGGTCATACGCAAAACTTCAATGCGCAGGGACTGCACTTACAATCGCAAGGTTTCTTTGATCACAGCATCTAGATACGGCAATCGGATCACCTCCTCGTACGACATGTCTCCGCCCTTCCGTGCTTCAACAATCTCCCGACGAAGAGTCTCTTGAGCGACAGGATTATCGGCTAGATATTGGAGGATCTGGGCCAGAGCGCTTGACGTTGTGTCTGTCGCTCCGATCACGAAAGTGCTAGAGCCTGGTTGGTTATAAAGGCCCGTAATAGTGACAAGACACTCACGACATCTGCCCAAGAAGCTCTTCCTTTGATAGCTTGTCGGCGCGGTCAGCTTCCATGTTGGCCTTGACTGAAGTAAATTGAGGACGATGCGAGGATACAGTATACCAGCCGACTTACGGAGCATACTCATCAGGTCTTTCCCCTTGCCTACTTGCTGCGACACGATCGCTTCACCCTTCTGCATAGCCGATTCCTTTGCTTGCAATATTTCCCTCGCTTTGCGGTCCATAGTATCCACAATGTCCAGTAGTTTCTTGAGGTGTTGGTTAGGTATCCGCTCAATGATCCGCCTTCTCAGGGATGGGGAACCAATCTTGACCAGACGCGGGATGAGCTGTCGAGCAAATCCAAGGCGCGAGAGGGCAGGGCTATTATGCTGATTAGTCGTGCAACGGATTCCTGCAACAGATTGGACTGACAATAATGACTTGAGAGCGCCTGCGAAGTCATCTTCCGACTCGGATACGATGGGATCGAAGGAATATCCTAGTCCTGCCTGACCAATTAGCTCGAGCGCCACACGGTTCATCCAATGAAGCATATTGAGCTCCTTCGGACCATCTGCGACTTGCACAGCAATCGCTGTCCGAAGCTGTAAACATCGGTCAGTTCAATATATCTACGTCAGCAATTGGATAATATTCACTCACATCTTCGATGACCTTGTAGAATACAGGTAACATGTCACGCAAATTCTTCGTCGAGAATACTGGATTCAACATCTTGCGCTGCCTGCGGTGATGTTCACCTGAGAGATGTTAGAAGCTGTCAGGAAAAGTTCGACGCAGCCCCGCGTGCAGTTACCTGTTGCCGATAAAAGTCCAGGACCAAGCACAAGACGGTAGCTCCTGACGCTACTCGTGAGTTGTAATGATTTAAAAAGATCAAATGACGCACTCTACAATGTAGGGGGGCTCGTCAAACGAGGAGTACTGATCTGCTACTAAAATATGGTGAATTGCCTTGGGATCGGAGATATACAGGCATTTCGCCTGAAGGGTTTCCTGTCAATGCTTGGCATTCACATATTGTGGTGGCAAGCCTCACTCCAAACAACATGTAGAGCTTGACGACAGAGCCATACTTCTCCCATAAGCGGCGATGAAAGTCCCATGCTTGGCGATGATACAACTGCCCAAAATTTCCTGGTTCGCGACATTATATATGAGCCTTGAGACATAATGTTCATTGCACAGAAAGCACCTTTTATGAACGATTCCCGAGGAGGACCTGGTATATTATTTAAAGGCGAGCGGACAATAATCGATTGAAGTGATCGCCACAGAATGAATGATAGTCCCAAGAGCAGAGCGGCTTCAACACTGAACAGGAGCATCGTTGGACAATACTGCTGAGAGAGCAAGACGGAGGATCACGCTAGTGGCCGTGTTGTGTATGAAAAGCCCGAGGTCAACTGACTGCACAGGTATCGCCTTAGTAGTGAACACGTTGAGGCTATGAGTTAGCGGACAGGAGGCGTGTGCATGATGGCCGATGCCCCCGCGAGGGACGAGAAGAAGGCCTATCAGCATAACGAATCATGAGGGTCACAGCGCCTCGAGGTTTCATTCCCCACATTTCGGCCCAGACCGTAGGATCTCTCGTAGACGCGAAAATCAGAAGAGAGTTCAAGAGACTAAGCAAATGAGACGCCATCGTTGTATCACCTCCTGATATCGGCAAACGATTAGTTGTCCTGTTTGTGAAATGGGCCCCGAGGAGAAGCGTTTCAAAATCAGGGTCTGTTCGGCGACTCATTGCACGGACTGATGAGCTTCTGGTCTTCCAGCGGCAATCTGCGCCGCGCAGCCGGGAGAAATCCGAGAAAGGAGCCGCAGTTTATAACTTGGAGACTATCAGGATGAATGTCAGTGCATCCATTTCCTCAGAAGTATACATGTATGCACCTATATCGAGTACACTTGTCTTTATTTTTGAAACCTGCATGATATAAACCATCTTATACGATGTCACGACTCATTATATCGGAGTTCCCATACAACAGATCAGTAGGTGCTGCTTGTAGCCAGGCACTTTGCAGAGTTATTGCTGACCTTCTCACGAAGACGTCCGGCCAACGTATATGCAAACTACTATATTCGCATATGCAGACATGTGTTGGGCAGCTCGCGGTAGTCGAGATAGATTTAATCACTGGGCGCTCAGCGCTTGAGCGCTTAGGAATGTGGGATCGGAATGTATGCGAACGTAGCAGCTTGGTGCTCGCACTTGTTGCAGACCGAGATGCTAGCAGCTTCCACCGTCCAGAGTCTTTGGCGCTGAAAGCACGACAGGAGAAGTACCTGGAGATATATGTTTATTAGGAAGAACTATATACATAGTCAAATTTGATTCCCGTGCACAACGATTATTAGTGCACCCCATGCGCCAGGTTGGAGTCCCTTACTAGGGGGTATATACAATGCCAATACTTGCTGTCTAAATGTGACAAATGCTTCAATGCCATACTACCATGATTTGTGTTCCAGTCCTTGGTATATTTGACCGTCGGACATGAAACGCTGCTATACGTAATTTTCAGCCAATCCCTCCGGACGGACAATCACCTGAGCATGCATAGCGTGCGCCAGAGCAAAGAACAATGCGTCGAAAGCACAGTAAATCCAGGACGACCTTGCGCGAGAGCGGTTAGACTATCGACTTCACCAGCAGACTTTCAAGTCTGCAGTATTCCGGCACGATCGCGGCGTATGACATGAACGCGTCCACATCCGGCTCTGCAACCTTGGCCAAGCCTAGTTGTAGCTCAGCATCGGAGGTGGGCATAGCAGTCACAGGGATAAGCGAAGCCGGAGAGGAGGTTGTGATAGTGTCGGTCGTGATAACCTCGGGGTTGGGGTTTGTACCGCTCAGGTCTGGCGTAGTAAACGCAGTGGACGGAGCATCCAGCGTGCTGCCAGTCATGGCGGTACCCGCAGTGGAGCTCGTCATAGTTCTCATCCTGCCTGCGTCGCCATCGCCGTATATGGAGCCCATCCCGTAAGAACTCTGCATCCCGCTTCCACCCATCTTCTCCATCTCCTCAACCTCCTCTTCCTCCTCCTCGACAAGGATGGTGGCACCAAGGGCAGATCGCGCACCGTGACCGTAAGGCGTACTCGTGCCGCTTCCGGGTGTGCTTGTGACTTTGTTCCCGCCGCTCGGCGCGTTGACGTTGGTTCTGATGGGAACGCCGCCGGTCGCAGCCCAGCGCTTCGCGAGCAGTCTTCGCACCTCCTCCTCGAATCCACCCCGACCTGTTCCCGCAGGCGTGCCCTTCTCCTTCCCCCACACCCACCGCGCAACGTAGGCTCCACCGAGGGAAGCACGAGCAGGGAAGCCTGGAGGAGGCGCATTTCTGTGCGGCACCACTTGCGCGGCGTCGATCTGAGTGGTCGGCAATATCACGGGTGCATTGAACGCATCACCCACGAGGTTCGCGATGGACGGAAAGTTCGCCGCCGCACCAGTGGCAACGATACGGGATGGAAGTGAAGAGTATTCATATGGATCGAATGGCAGACCCATGGTAGTGCTCGGGTTACTGGCGGAACGCTTCGGCTGTCCAGATATTGGACTCGGAGAGGCGTTCGCTCCTCGTCCGCGGCCCGCGTTGGGGCCCATGACACCCGTCGCAAGCATGCGTGACCAACGTACGCGGAACGACAGGATCTGACTCTCTAGCAGACATCGCGGGTTTGCCCGCAGGTCACGGAATTCATTCACCTTGACACCGGTCTCGAATCGGAAAATGCCTTTCACGTGGGAGAAAGGGTAGCTGTCGCCTTGAAGTAGCCAGAAACTGAACAGCTTATCGTCTAGGCTAAAAGAATAGTCAGTATATGGAAGGAATGAGCATACATCGACTTACCCTATCGACCCGCCTGGAGGTACGATTGCAACTAGGCGGTCGAACGCGCTCCAGCTCTTGGTATACATGTCACGTACAAGGGCTCGTGGCACATCAGCATTCCTAGGATGCCAGATGTCAGCAAATAGATCTTCAAGAACAATCACAGCGAATCGTACCTGCTGGTGAGCATGGCGACGTAGCGCTTCCTTTCAGTGGCATCCTGGGCAGGGTGCGGAAATAGGCTGTACAGCCGCGTGGGGATGTAGTTCGATGCAGGAGCGAGCATGGAATCCATAGGTCCGAATGATAGGACAGCATCGGAGGGCGAGGGACACAAGGACAGGTATATGGAAAGATAGTCGGACGTGAACGGCGTGACAATGGCCTCTGCGACCATCAAAAGATGAGAATATGCTACAAAAACACGTTGCCGCAACGTACCTGGATCAAACCCATACCGGTCTACCAGATATCGCGAGACATTGCCGATCCTCCTCCGCCCGCCTGAGACGTCAACATCACCCAACCAGCCCCAGATCCGTCGTCCTTCATCTCTGTTGCCTCCCACAATCTCCATCACGCCCTCGTCCCAGTGGCTTGGTGTTCCCGCTGTGGTGCTGTGCGCCCACAAACCTGTCGCCGCCGCCTCCGCCTCGCCCATGCCGACCAAGACGCCACACGCAAGACTGGCGAGGAACGAGCTCGCGACCTGCACCTTGCCGGTACGCGCCCACACTTCCGGCCACGCCTCACGCACGCGCAGCAGCTGCGCCGCCAGCAGCGACGCATGCGCACATGTCCCGACGCGCACCGCCATCAGGTCTGGGCCGCCGAGCGCGGCTTCCAGTGCGAGTCCATGCGTATGCGCAGACGTATCCTGAGCAACGGGTGCATGCGGCAGCGAGAGCGATTGCGTCGAGATCTGCGTGTGTACAGGCATTCGCGGGTCAAGGCTTTGGAGCTGTGGAAGCTGGTTTGCCTTCCACCACACGAGCGCGTGCTTCGTGCCGCCGGGACGTCAGGCCGGCAGCGTGTACGAGGAGAGAAAACGCACCTGTGCAGCGCCGCCGATGGCCTTGATCCTCGGCAGGTCATAGCTTTTGCTGAGCTTTTCCATGAGCAGGTCTGTCGGGGGCATGCATATGGACGTTTTGGGAAGTTAATTCACACGATGGCGAGATCAGCGATTGGACTGGGAGCGACGATTTGGTCCCGCGAAACATTACTCACCGTACGCTTTAATCCACATCTCAACGGGTGTGGTATATGCATCGCCGGGTGTGGTGAAAATGCCGCCCTGAGTTCTAGGCCAAAACGGCCGCCGCTGCGTCAATGACCTGCGCGTATCTCGTCCGTGACAACGACCCACTGGTATTCTGGCAACTCCGTGTCAAAGTCTACAGCCTCCACGCCGACTAACTCGAGGTTCTCATCCACGATCGATGCACGCAGCTGGTCCGTGGCGAGCTCAAGACCTAGAAAAAGAGACGATATGGCCTTGGGGGGCATAGCGACGGTGACAGCTCGTAAGGAGAGATCGACAGTAGTTCGTCAAAAAAATCAGAGAAAATAAGTCGTCGTTGCACCAGGCGTCGTCAACAGCGTCGAGCAGCTGAAGACGGTGGTCGTGAGTGGAGGATACAAAGACGCGTGCCAGACGATTCTCAGGCTTCTGTTCGCAGGCGAGCCCATCAGGCTGCCGTTGCTGGACCGGGCGCTTCGTGGCGGCCTCGTGTCGGATATTCCCACGAATGAATGGGGTATGGACTTCCGCCACTCCCTCATCGGGTCCTTCCACTGGATAGGACTTCGTTAATAATGCTTCAATATTGGTCGGCGGTGGACTTAGCTGCGGTATGCTCGATTTACGGCAGTACTAGCTGTCTTGAGCACGGAGAGGAAAATATGAGAGCTCTTCCATAGCGAGCGGCCTGTGTATCCGTTGTCCATTCATTCACGATGCTTAGCACCGAATGCATCACCGTTTACCATGGTCAACAAGGATGGTGGCATGGCACCTCTGAATGCTCATCGACTCTGCAAGAATTGAAGGTCTTCTCATAGCAGACCCATCAGCCTCTGCATCGCAAACCACCCCGCAGCGATAACAAGGACCTGAGCAGAATTTACGGCGAATATCGAGGTATGACTTTCTCTTATTCTCGTTGTGCTCCAATAGTTGCCGCGTTGTGCTATTTTTGTTTCAATATATCATATATTGGCCATCGACTTCCTCTCTGCGCATGCATCTGTGCTACCGTGTGCAGGGAGAAGTCATGGTCTTTGCAGATATATGGTGTCATTACAGCACTTAAAGCTCTCTGTCACAGTGTGCTGCGTTATCTAGGCCTTCTAGATATTTCTATACATGTGAGTCGCGGTCTGAGTTTGTATTGATCGCGTGTACTTAATTGTGAGACGTTCGCTGATGAACATGCTTAATACTCTCTCTGAGTAATCGCACCAAATCTTGAGGTCATATAATACGTATAAATGCACCATTTATGCCTCATGAAGGTGTGGCGCTCGTGTACGTCGGACTCTGTGCCGAATATTGTCTCGTAGCGAAGCTCGCTACTCTGCTTCAAGAGTAATGTAAGAGACAAAAATTGCATTTTTAAGCACTAGTACAGCAGCTCAGTGTCCTAGTGGACAAAAAATAGAGAAGCTATGACTGACCGAAATTTAATTCGAGCGACCACCTTTTGCGCCACAAGCGCGTTAGGCGTTCTATGGGTCATCACGTGGTCGCGTTGCGGTCCAGCGCTAGATCCTCAACTTTTCCTCCTCGCCACTGTCAAGCTGGACCACCATCGTTGACTGAGTTTCGACTCTACTCTAGTGAGATTACTCATTTCACACGGTCAACCACTCCAATACACATTATATAAGGATTCTAACGTTTTACAGACCGCTCGGCTATGCGATACTAGCACCATCCGCTATGGAAGGCGCAATCTGGCGACTACTCCGCCTCTTTGACCTCATTGAGCTCATGTGCCAGTTTAACGACATCATTCTGTCACGCGAAAGGCTCAATAGGCAACCGACCGTGGAAGTCAAGTCACTTACCCCGCTGCGAGATATCTTCACAGCCGGATCGTCTGCACCTCTAGCGTTGCGACTAACCGTATTGCCCTGCAGGGACCGCAGGCCGCACTTGGTCACCCGAAAACAACAGCACCATAAGTTTAAGCGTACCTTGTTGCTGACCACCTCAGCCTTCCCTTCGGTTACAACCTCGGAGACAGTGCCCGTGGGATTCCCTCCTCCCCAGCGCCACCTAGGCCATATTGTCAGTTCCTCGAGGTCATAGTCAAAGCGGAATCGCGAGGATGAGATGCATACGAGACATCTTGTCCCTCTTCCAGCTTGTCAGACATGCTTCTCGCGAATTCTGCGGTGACCTCAGGAGGGGGAGGGGGGAATATTTGGTGCTCGAACAATTCGTATACGGGGCATTTATACGCCTCTCGCCTGCTGACCTCCTGCGTCATTGACTTCCTCTGGTTATGACATACTAAACACCGAACGTTGGCGTTGCCCATGTCAAATGTGTCGAACGATCGGTTGGATCCCGCATCATCCCGCACTCTTGGCGTTCGCTGGCGAGCAGTGCGACATTCAAGGCTTCAAATCTTCATAGGTTTCAACGATGGCAGCTTGCACAGCGACATATGTGGATGACACCTAGAGCCCATCACTCCTGGTTGTTCGTACACACACACATATTCCTTGTTATTTCCAAATGGCCCATGAAGCCCCAAAGATACAACTTGAACCCGTTATGTATTGTGACATTACATTCTCGATCCATTGTTTGCCCTTCCTGCACGTCGCAAGGAGCCTCAATTCGCACTAATGGCAGCTGGGAGACCCATCGCTATCCGAAAACGCCGGCACGCTGCGCTTGTCGTTCGCACCAGGCACGTCCAAGGCCGGGTTCGCCGTGAAGAAGTTTCCGGGCCTGAAGAGCACACGGATGTGCTCGACCGGCATCACAGGCCAGTCCTCCGGCCTCGGGATGTGGGTGATCCCTGCGCGCGAATCGTCAGCTGCAGCTCCCGACGAACGGCAAGGAGAAGAGCTGCGTACCAGTAGTGAGATACACGAGGATGTCCTCCTCCGCGACGTTCTCGTCGCCCTTGACCCAGTTCGCGATCGAGTCCGCCGGCGTGTCCCTCGTCTGCGGGACGTACTTGCCACACGGCCACATCCGCGAACCCCTCTCGTCCTCGACATCCTTCACGACCCACAGCGGCTTGTGCGCGAACGGCGCCCGCTTTCCGACCCACCCATCGGGGCGCGCCATCATCGGCACCGCCGCTCCCCTCAGGCCGGTGATCGCGTACCCCACGAACTTGCCCGAGTACGGGTGGCGCTTCTTCGGATTGATGATCGTCCAACGCCGGTCGAGCTCGAGGCTCACGTCGCGCGCACCCTCGTTCTGGACGGTGATCGGATGATCGCGCGTGAGGAACGCGTTGCCGGCGAAGTTTGCGGGCGAGCCCGTCGGCGCATCGGCCAGCGGGATCACATCCGTCTCGACGACGGTGTTGTGCAGGCCGTCGACCATCGGGTCCACGCGGAACGAGAAAAGGTGCTGGTGAAACTGGGCGTTGACGCCCGGGGCGAGGGTCGTCCCGAACTTGGTCACTTCCTCCTCGCCCTTGACGTACACCTGGAGGATGCCCGTGAGGCGGACTTCGATCTCGATGTTGCCGTCCTGGTAGAAGAGGTAATTGAAGATGTACTCTGCGAGCCACGTGTCAGTCTGTCGTGCGGGAACTACACTCCGGAATGCATACCGTAGTTGGCCAGCGTACAGATCATGCTCACGACCAGCCTGCGGCTGCGCACAGCGTGCGACCGGCCGCCAACGCGGTAGTCGCTGTGCTTCCAGAGGAGGCCCGCATCCTCTTCGTGGATGCAGATGACGTTCTTGATCACGACCGCACTGCCGTCGTGTGCGACGTAAGCACCGGGCTGAGCAAGCAATGTCAACAAACTGCTGACAGCAGACCACCATGTCCGTAACTCACCAGGTAGTGAATCTGTCCAAGACAGTCGCAGCCGAGGGCCAACTCATTCGCCATGGTGCCCATACCGTACTCGCCCCTATGACAAGTGTCACCTCTACAGGGGGTACACAGGAAATATGGAACGTACGAGTCAAACGCATGCTTCCTGGGGTGAGGATGCTCCGGTGAACCGTACGGGACGATCATCTCCGCCAAGGAGAGACGGTAGAAGATGGGGCGGATGTTGCCGTCATCGTTGTACGTGATCGTCGAGAGCGCAGTACCTTCACGATGGTGGAATGCTAACGGGGCGTAGTCAGCCTTCAACTCCAAACAACCCCGAAAGAGACGAGATGGCACCGACCGATATGCATCTTCCACTTCTGCCATTCCAGCACGTGCCCGTCCATCTTGAAGCTGACGCCCTCGGGCTGCAGGATGTGCAGCGGCTTGACATCGTCGCGAACTTTAAAGTTCGAGCCCGGCTTCTGCGCGAGGAGGTCGGGCAGGAAATCCCATGACTCTTTCGGAGGGGGGAGGCGCTCGCGCTTCGCCGCGGCGAACGCGTCCTCCTCCAGGGACGGAGGTGCCGTAGTCGGCACGGTGAGCTCGACATCAACCCCAAGTTTCTTGAATATCGAATTGGACGAAGCTTTCGAGAGGAAGCCAGGAGGGAAGTCGATATGAATCACTTTCATCGTGGTCGAGTCGATGACGGGAACGAAGTCCTGTCCAGTGCATCAGTGCGAGGTCGTTACTGCAGCAGGAATCCGAATCGTACCAAAGGATGAGCGTACAGGTTCTCATGCTGGCCGTAGCGGGCGAACATCAGCGCCTGCTGGATGCGAGCCTTCTTCGGGAAGCGTTCATCGTAGCCGATAGCCCATCCATCGCAGTAGAGCTGGTCGGCAGTGACACCTTTACGAGACCATGAGCCACGCTGTTCGGCACCGAAACTCGGAACGGCCACTCACCGACTGCGGCAGCAAGTTCCTGCACGCGCTTATCCTCCCTGATGATCTTCTCGCAAAGCAACAACTCCTCGACAGAGATCTGCGGCTGCACCCCCTCAGGCAACTTCTGAAGCGAGGTCACCTCCCACTGGTCATGCTTCAGCGTCAGGAAGGCGTTGAACGCATCTCTATGTGCGAATCAGCACGATTTGACGGCGACAGAGCCAAGCAACCAACCCTTTGATGACATCAATGAACTGATCAATACGGCAGTCTATTAGCGCGATCGAGTGAGGTATGATAACCGAGGGACCTACATCGACCTCGGCCTTGCGAACGATCTCGGGGACGTGTTGAGGCGCTTCGCCGGGATTGAGAGGGATACCGAGGTAGGCGAGGACAGCCTTCTTGGGCGGCGCAACGAGTGCGCTGGTGATGAATCGGACTGCCTTGATATCCGTCTTCTCAGCAGTGTACCTTCGTACACTTAGAGATACAGCGACGATCTACGAGATCTGTTGAGAATCATGTCGCACAATCCTTGGTTTACTCACCTCATCTGGAGTAAGGGGGTCCAGAGGATGCTTGAAAGCCGGCGATTTCGAGTGCGTGGTCGTTTGAACCGAGGTTGCAGTGCTCGGAGCGAGATTTGGGACAGACATGACGATGGTGCAGATTAAGCAGACTGCGACGATGAGCTGATGGACTCGAATAGGAGGCAGGCGTCTCTGAGGCTTCTCCAGCTCGAGCTCCTTCTTTTATAGACCGACCATTTGGGATGCAATCTTTGAGTATTCATGTCGAAGGCCCGCTGGCGCCAACGTGCTCGGCTAGATAACGGTGGTATCTCCAGCTGTAAAAGCGCCAAGCGAGCGGCCATTTTGTCCTTGCTTTAAGACCATGCCGAAGCCATTTCAGCCTGCGAAGTAACGAAGACGACTAGAAGAAGATCAGTGCAACTAGTTGGTGAGAGGCTGAGACAAGTTGTGGCGCGTCTCGAGACTCTGACTCGAACTCCGATGTTACTGCACCGACTTACGGCCTCACAACATACCACAGCTTATCGCACAATTGAGTCTTAGCCGACCATTGCTTCGCATCCAGCGAACATAAATCCAATTCTACTACAGAATGACTCGTTCAGGTGCTGATCGCTCGACGCGTTCCACGGATCAACTCTTGGAGGCAGGAACAGGAACAGCACCCGGCGTGACCCCTACTGCTCGGTGATAGCAGCGGAACGCGGAAGAGCGTGGCCACCTCATGCCCTGGCTGGGATGCAGTATCTTGCAAAGAAGAAGTAGGTCGACTTGCGGCTCTGAATGCAGCAGCAAGCTGACATTGCTTTACTGCACTTTTTCTGAAGCTCAGGGCTCTGAACCATCGTGTGGCCATTGGCACGGTGCTGTGCATTCTTCGGAAATCTAAACACCAAAGTGTGGCTTATCTTCAAGCACAGTTAGCCGACGACTGCGTTGCGGTCGAGGTGAGAACGTAAATCCAATTCGACGAAATGGCACTGGTTCCTCGATGTGTTCCGCATGTAACAACTGATAGCAGCTATAGTTAAGCGAGAGATGGCGGCCGTTATGCCAAATAGAGGCGAAGCACGAAGGCATGCTGCCACTGAGCTCAATTGACAGCGTCTGGGGAGAGCGTGAATATCCTTAATAAACAGGTCTGGAAGCATCATCTCAAAGCTTAATTCAGGAGTGCCTCATTTCTCACTTGATCCAGCCGACGGCTGTTTGGCATCCAGGCGAGCGCATCGAGACTGCCTGATGCCGATGCACTCGAGGAGCTCATGTCTTTCCTCAACTTCCGTGCCAACAGAGGAGATCCTCTGAAGGGCCTACGTATTTTCAGCGACGGAGACGCAAGCACGCAAACCTATGACAAAATCGCACGCGTGATGAAGTATCATGCAGTTGACATGTTCATTCACAGAATCAATTGAGTACGAGTCAGTAGCACCCGGAAACTGTACCTAACTATTTTTCCCTCATAATCTGTTTGCTGTACAGACTGTCCTATTCATAAGTGAATGGTGACTTCCACTATGCAGGGGTAGGGCCAGGGTTGTTTGTGATCAGGCAAGAATCGAAATCTTTACTACATTCGCTCATCCTGTGGCGACATTACTCTCCCATGTGCCTTTGCAAAAGGTTATGCATCACGGCTAGCAGCGAAGTGCTTCCTATCCATGCGAAGGATCTATTGCGATTGAATGACAACCATGAACGGCCCGTTTCTTTTGACTTTGGGAAGGCTACTTTACATTCGGCGCGAGCTAGCTTCCATTATGGACCATCAGACACTTGAGACTTTCTCGCAACGTTCTGCACTGGATTTCTCACTCAATCTGCAACGCCTAATGGTATGTAGTGTTAAGCGGAAGAGCTTCGAGACTCGGAGCACTGAGATACGACCACCGCACCCCTCCTTCGAAACCCGCTCTGGACGCGACCGCAAACCGCAATCGTCTCCGCAAATTCAGCCCGCCGGTTGAATGCCATCTCGATGCCGCTTAATTGCTGTTACGCGAGCGTGGCTGACCGTATTCGTCAGTGATAGATCCATTAAGGTTTATATGATATTGTTGAGTAGTAAACTGGCTGTCTGCAACGCCCATCCAGAACTCTTGCCTCAAAATGACATATGATTCTGAATGCCGTAACAAGAACTGCCTGCCCTATGAATATATGACTGCCCGATAAAAAGCACAAATCGTTACTCGAACCCACCAACATACCCCGATATGGGACGCATTCTACCATATTAGGCAACATGTATATGATGTACGCTCTGGCAGAATTCTGCTTTGTGGCGCTAACTTTCGATATATACAAGACCATGAGTGTTTCCACAAACCTCGCCATCTCTTCTTCATGCTCTGCCCCTTGCGTGCTTTTGTTTGTGCGATTTGCCTCTGCCGGCAAGCCGCAAGATTGTTCCTTGCACCGGCTGCTCTATCACGAAGACAGCATATATGCGTCAAGCCCACTGTAGCAATGCAGTACCTATGCTTGGTGAGTGTTTGTCTCATATGCGGCCGGTTCGTCAGCATTTAGACACAGTCCGGCAGCAGAAGTCCCAGAGACAATTCCACGGGACTGAGCCGGAAAAAAAACTCATCATATCGTGTGCAAAGCGAGAGTAAACACACAGTGGCACTGTAATAGGGGTGTACATTGCTCGTAAGGATCCACAAGGTATTGGGATGCAAGTTGTCGACGGTATGCATTTCCTGACCATGGTATGGTTCATAGCACAGCAATGCTTACTAGGACGTCCAAGCTGAAGTGATATCGGCAGGGTATATGCGTCAAGTTGAAGAAACAATCATATTGTTTTACACCTTGACGAATTGGCGTGCATCTATCTCGTGTGCAGCAGACTGGTCAGACATATTGTATGGCAAGCAAGTGTGGACTGAAATACGTGATGTGAGTGACCCGTGGGACACAATCCAAGTCCCTGGCGTAGTATAATTGACAAAGCTCAGCAATGAACATCACAGCGATATCCCCACCTTCATTCCAATTCCGCGGATTTCGTGTCGAACTGATAGTAAACGATCAAATCGACAATTCAGACGTCTTGGAAGCACAAGGCGACTAGCAATTAAGACGCACCAATGGCACAAATGCCACTAGTGTTCCGGGTCCAGGCAACGGATGATGATGATGCAAGAATCATGTCTGCAGCGTGCCAGTTGATCTTCCGTCTTCTTGCCGCATGAAGCATACTGATACACATGATCATCTGTCGTCGATCTGTCTGCCTATCATCTTGGCGGAATCGAGCGCGCATGGTGTAGAACACGAGAGTCGATTGCAGAATGGGTTTCAGGGGCTGGGAACAAGCAGCGTGAATGCCCAACACAGCCCTTGCGCGGCGTGCTGATCGTGAGTGTCCTTCAATACAAAAGACAGGCTGTCAGAAATACTTCCTACCTTCCCCGCCGCATTGCTGAAGTCCACGAACAGACTGGTCCACATTGGCCCTGCTCATTTGCCACGCGGAATCGCCGAGTTGCCCACTCCGCTGGAGCACTGCAAAGAGAAGCCCTATTCGAGCGGCCCCGCCATTCGCAAGTCTTCCATGACAACAACGTGCACAATGGCGTCGGATGCTCACCTTGTCCTCGTCCGCCGCCCTCTTTCTTCAAGTACTCTCTACTCTACTTCCGCCCTCCCGGCATACACGCTCCCTACAGTCAATCATTTAAGCGAGCTCGACTCTTATTCGGTCCATCTCCGTTGTCCGGAACGATACTCGGGACCTTCTATACAAAGACGGCTGTTTCCGATACTACGCGAGCGGCTAATTTCTGTTCCCTAAATGGTGAGTGGTTGACGACGGTCGACCTCGCCCGCCGCGTGTAGCGCTCTCCTGCTCGCTCGCCCTACACGAGGCTGCCCATCGTCATCTACACGAGGCTCTGGCGTTCACGCCTCAACAAGTGACCGTGCCTCGGAGTCTGCGTTGGGCTGAACGTGCTGTGCCCGCGTGGTCAGTCAGTGTTCCCTGTGCTACCCATCTAATCTACTCGTCTTGGACTTTTTGCCCTCGCTTAACGTACTCAGTTGCATGAATTTTGCCTAATTGACGGTCATGTCACGACAGTACGACTCGGACACGCCATCACTCTTCGGAGAGCCTTCGCCAAAATCCACGACAACACGCTCCAGCTCGCGCGAGCGCACAAGCAGCGGAGGCCATGAAGCCGTGCGCTCCCCAGTCCCCGAGGGACCGCCGTCCTCCCCGCAGTCGCCCCATGGTGTATCATCGAGTTCCGAGGGCTATCCATCATGGCTACCAAAACGCCCACCACCGCCTGGTCCACAGTCGACCGTGCACTCCGAGGTGGGTCCCATGCTCAGCGAAGCTGGTCCTAGCAATGAGCCCTACATGATTGGACGGAGACCCACTCCACGCTCGGTGCGTATCGTCAGCTTGCAGGGCTCAACGCAGGCGCTGGACAGGGACTCGAGGGCGCGACGCGAGCCCACGGATCAGTCGCGTGTGTTCTCTGGACCCCCGCACGCGCGTGTCTGGTCGCGCGCGACGAGCGCTGGACTAAGTCCTACGCTCTTCGGTTCGGGACTTTTCTCTTCTCCACCTCGGCCCAGGTTCCGCACCCCAGGCTTCCGCCCCGAACTCTTGCGAAATCCTTCTTGGAAAGTCCGCCTACTGTTTTATATATTCCCTGTAATTGTCTTTGGCCATATCGCGCTGCAGACGTTCTTCGACATCAATGCTGTATACATGCTAATCATGTGAGTTCTTTCAAACGCACTCCTGCAGCATGTTTTCGTTTATCGAGCCCGTCGCAGGGTCGCAAAGTATCCTAATCCTGCCGCGCCAGGCGTGGCTGGCTCCGGGAAAAACTGGGCTCTCGCAGCGGCTGGCTACATTGCTTGCTGGTTCACGTGGATATTTGTTGTAGTCATCCTGTATGAGCTTATATTTTCATTCTATCGTCGATGGAGAGTTAGTGAGTAGTCATTTACGTCTACGATCTCCAGCGACGCACCTAGTGTTGATGACGTTGCTTCACAGAACGACCGCTAATGTTACCAATATACATGTCCACGCCTGCGTACAATCTTGTTTCAATGACCTCGTACACTAACTTCTGCTTTATGTATCATATTCGCGCCTCTGCGTTCTCTGGAGAACACGGCGCAACCCACGACGGCCTTGCCGAAACCGCCTATTATTACTCGCAAAATTGGCCGACAATTGCCCTCCTCCTGCCGCGTGCGGCACTCTCTCTAGCCTTGCTGCTTGGATTCTGGACGCCCTCGCCCGGTGCTATTGCTCTCAATAATGCTGGCATCAGCGTCCGAGAAGGATCTTTCTTTCGCGCGGATGGGACGCTCACGGACTACGCCCGCGGTGTGCTCATTGCAAACGCGGTATGGACGGCATGGCGGATCCTCATTCTCCTACTGAGCTTGTACGTGTCCCTTCCGGTGAACTCGAGTAAGCTCAGTTGCATGTTAACGGCTGACATCTTGCTGCTCCCAGCATCGGTCTCTGGATCGCAAGCGGGCAGGGCTGTGCGGGTTTGTGCGGGCCACGATTCCGCTGGGAGGAAGAGGACGCGGAAAAGACGGCATCGGTCTTGAGTGACAAGCTATCGGATATGGAGATGCTGCCTTGGTCCTGGAAGGAGTCCACGTTGATGCGCATCAAGGATGCGCACGACTTCTGCCTCACAAACAGACCCATCCGTACGGAGTTTGTCCCCGAAGAGGGTCCTGTGCCGGATCTGCCGCCTGTACCGTTCGAAGGCATGGATCGCCTGTTCGCCGCTGTGGGGCTGGCTCCCAGCCACCATCCTGCCCGGCGAGGCGTGTTGTCATCGCAACTCTTCCAGACGCCTGAACCGCAAATGGAGAGTGAGGAAGGCGGGGAAAAGCTGCCGGCTAGCAAGTCGGCGCCGGAGTTGTCGCGTGTAGCTCCTCCTCCAACTAGCCTGCGACAAAAAGAGAAACGACCTGCACGTCCACTGGCACCCTTTCCGACTTCGGACTATCCGTTCACAGGGTCTGGTGCACAGATTTCGTCTGAGGAGAACGTGCCGTTTCCGCCATCATCTGTCTCTGAGGAGGAACGAGAAGTGCCCATTCAGGGCACAGATGACGACGAGATGGAGGAAGGTGAAGATGACGAAGAGGAGCATGCGAGTACTCATGAAGACCCAAGGACAGGCACGAGCGAGAATGTGGCGACTGAGCTGGAGGAAAGCGTAGAACATCACCGTAGACGAACATCGGAATCCATGTCCAGTCTCGGGCGGCCCATAGTTTCGAGGTACCCCTTCATGCACCGACGGCCAACGGGTGGGAGTGCCTCCTCGGTATCTCCTCGCACACCCTCCTCGCCTTCCACACAGACGCGTTCGACGCACACACAGTCGATGCAATCGCGTTCCACGCGCGAGTCCCAGTCAACGCAGTCTACAGGCAATGCGGAGTCATCCGAATCGCCCATAAGCAACAGAGGCTCGAACGGCGCCAGCCCGTCATCATCGAACTTCAGCGGCAGCGCGATCCCGATGCCGCCCAGACATCCGCGAGCACACAGGAGGGCAAGAACGAGGACTATCTCGCCGGGCAGCCCAGGCTCCATCTCACCAGTTGTATTCCCCGCGGACCGGCCTCATGCGCGGACACGCACGGACAGCGTGGCCAACGAGGTATCGATGACGTTTGGTGCTATGCAGCCGCCTGTGTACGACACTGACGAGGAAGATCTGCACGAGGGCTCCCTCATGGACGTGCCCGAGGCGGAGGGCTCCGTGGAAGAGGCAGAACGGCAAGATAGCGTCGGTCTGCTGTCCGCTGCGCCGAGTCCGCGTAGTTCGTCGGGCAATCTGCGGCGCAGAACGAGCAGCTTTTCGCAACACAGGTCGAGCGGTTCGCGGTCTCATTCAGGACGGGTTTCGTTGTCGCGCTCGCGCTCACGCACAAGCTCAGGGACATCTCGGTCGGAGTCTGCGCGATCACGAGCGCATTCGCTCATACAGTCCATCGGCGCGGCGTCGCGCTCATCCATAGATGTCGTACGCTCTCGGACCAACTCCATGGCGCGCCTGTCAGACTCACCCGCAGGATCGTCTGCGTCGGACACGGTGCTGAGTAGTCCCGAGAACCACACGTTCGGCCATCCATTGCGGGAGCGGTGGGGCCCAGCAGACGAACACGGCAGGCGGATCAGTCCCTCCCAGGTGCCTCTACCGCCATCCGCATCTACCTCGGAAGCTGCCTCCGGTTCTGACGCTGGCGGACATTTGCCCCGGTTGCGTGGGGTGCGTTCGAGTCCGCGCTCAAGTCTGGTTCCGTCCCAGCGAAGTCGACGAAGTCAGCGTACGGAGCGTCTAGGAGTGCACATACCAGAGGGGCATCTGAGCACTGAAAGCCAACCCGGAACAAGTACCGCGCAATCGTTCATGACAGCACCGACGATCGCACCCAGTGCAACAGAAACTTCAATACGGACCAGCTGGGCGGAGCTGGACTCGCCGACCACGCCTGGTGATCCGGAAAACTAATAAGATCTTGCTTTCGCTTGGACTTCTTATTATTTCGTACTTATCTTGTGTTAATAGCTCTATTTGCTATGTTTATAGTTCTATTTGCTGTGCATAGTTTTTTTGACTTCTTACCTAGAGCACGGACGGTGTGTCATGAGCATAATGCTAATCAGCGGTACCTAACGAATACGATATAGTCGATGAATTTCTTGCCTCCATCATATGCACACCGCTGCGAAAATAGTTGCTGTACCTCGAAAATTGGTGAGTCTTGATGTTAAAGCTGGATAGGCCAGGGAGAGTCGAGACGATGCAAATTTTCCTGAGCTGGTGCCGGGGACGTCGTCGGGCATTTCCTCAAGATTCCATGCGCGAGGTTTAATCATAATGCAAGGAGACGGCCTCGAGTGGCAGCAAGGAGGAACGTAGCAGCGGAGTGAGACTCAGAGTCGTGTCAAGAGCCTCAGCTGCAGCGCGACGAGTCACGACTGCAGGAGCACGTAGTCACGGTCACGTGATCGCGAAGTGCTCAGGCCATTCGCGCTGCTCTATCGAGTCGATGTCTTCGAGCATCAAAACATTTCATAACTCAACAACATAAACAGTACTCTGCCTGAACTCCCAAGGTAGTTCAGCATTATTTGATCTGACATGTGCGACGATGGCTCCACGCAAGTTCGCGAACAACCAGATTTCCGCATCAAAAGTCATAGCCATCCATGTGAAGTCTATGAGAAAAAATTATATGGCACAGAGCATCCACGAAGACCACATTGCTTTGATTGCGTGCATTGAGCCTGAATGAGTCGTTGAGGTTGAACGCGTGATTTGATGCTTCGTACAATGTCGTGTGAAGAGAAATGGATCATCAAGAATCAACAAAAGTCATAGCAGACGAACTGCATGGCGACAGTAAGCATACTTTGCATCCACATATCCTCCATTGCAACACTTGCCGTATCCTTTCAAAATACCATTGTCTATGTTCTGGACAAGTCACGGCTCATAAGCCCCTCCTTTTGTTGTTGTCGTCGTCGTCGTCGTGACGAGAGCAGCTCATAGCTCGAGGATTTGGAGTCGATCAGCGGCGAGGACTAAGTCGTGGGCGGGGCGGTAGGTCCTCGTGAATGAGCTGGCTTGTCCAGCGCAAGCGTGGCACCCTGAGGTGGGCCCGCGCGTCTGAAAATCGTAGGGGTCCATGGCTCCCTGTCTTCATTCTCGCCTCTCTCCATTCTAATTCTCTTCGTCGTTCTCCGGTCCTCCGGAGAATCACGTCCGGCAAACTCGGCTTCCCTGAGTGTCTCCTCGTCGTCCACGCCCACCTCATCTGGTGGCACATAAATCTTCTCTTCAGAGATGTCACCCTTCTGTGGGTACAACTTCGAGCGCAGCTGTGCAAGGAGCGCCGCCTTCGGGCGGCGCACACGCAGCATCCGATATGGGTACGGGCCCCCGGGGCGGTTCTGATATTCTTCGACAGCCTTCCAGTCCTCGTCGCTCCAGTTGCGGCGTGCCTCTTCGATGCGGACGAGCCCACTGTGGAGCAGGCGCCAGAGCATCTTGCCTGGGAGGCGGAAGGGCGCCGCACGTCCGGGCCCTGCGCGGATGTACTTGTCGTGCAGCGCGAGTGTGTGCAGCGGTTGCCGCCACAGCTCAGGCACGCGACGAGAGAGGAAGGAGGGCTCGTACGCAAAGTCGCGCACCTTGATTCCCAAAGCTTTGATTTCCTCGACGATTGCTTTCTGCTCTGGCGGTCGCTCCTCTATCTCTGTGGGCGTTGGCGAAGACGGCGCTGGGATTATCTCTTGGTCACCCAACACTTCGTCATATGAGTCGGATTCAAGGTCAATTTCTTCAGGTTCATTGATGTTGACGATCAGCGGTGGCGACTTTGGACGTGTTGGTTGAGGTTGAGGTTCTTTGTTGGCGCTATTCGCTGCCGCCGCACTTGCCATGTCGGGCGTGACGTTCAGGTTAATGGTCCCGTCACTGCGTTTCCGCTTCAAATTGTTGGATGTACTGCGATTCAGCGGCTGCAATGCTACTGGGCTCTGCACATAGCTATCGATGTGGCTCACAGCGGCGTTCGGGAGCGTTACAGTAGTAGATTGCTGTGAAGCAGCAGGGACGATGATGTCGGAATTTGACATGGTGGCTGATGTCTCGGAAAATGTTGACGGATGAGCAAAGACGAATCTTCAACACGGCCTCGCCCTTTGTTTGAGCTCCTGAGCCACTGCGTTGACCAAAGAGAAAACAATAGGGTATTCCGTGGCCGTCGTGATTGTGCAGAACAAACGAACGATCCAAGAATGAGATTCTCTGCATTCAATTTTCAGGGGAGATAAGTTAACTGCGGAAATTATGCAAATAATCGGCTGTGGTGGTTTGCCAGTCTCTCTTGCCAGTCCTCCATAATTGTGAGGTCGAGCACGAACAATTGTACAGGGAGATAATAAGATACAGTACATGAACAAGTTGTCTGCCAGATGGGCATTCATCAGGAAAGGTACTAGTCAGCATTAAAATTCAATACATCGAAGCCCCGTCCATATGCGGATTCCCAGTCAAAGCTGCTGGAATGGTTCTCCTCGCCAAAGGCGATCAAAAGCTGCTCACTCTCGGGGCCACCCCGCACCACAGGTTGTGCATCCTCGCGCGTCTTGCCTCGTGCTCCCTGACCCCAGATGAGCGCCCCGTCAGCCGATAGGAATGTGCCAATGTGGCGGAACGTCAAGCTAATACGCTCTTCGTTCTCATATCGCTCTGCATCCGTCTTCGTCTTCGGTTGGCGTTTGTCTGTGCGGACGCCGTGCAGCCAGCGCATGTTCGTGTCCAGTCCCATCACGAACATTGAGTTGTGCGGGAGTGGGACGTGCTGCACGGTGCGGCCCTCACCGTCCGAGACATCCTTCTTTGTACGAAGCGTCATGATACGCTGTGCACCGAGGCTGACGTTAATGATATTCGAGCCACGCACGATGTCGATGGTCTTGTCGGAATGCTCTGAGATGTAATCCGCGCCACTGCGGTAGTGCTGGATTAGCACGTGATTCACGGGGTGCTTTACCGACTTCTCCACGTATTCACGGATGTGCGCGACGGTGGGAGAGAACGGGAGAAGAGGTGGAGGATCGTCTGCTGGATGGCGGTAGATGGGGTAACTGGAATCTAAATCAGATTCGTCCTGAATCGTGACAGGAATGAATGTTGACCTTCCATCCTCACTCACTAACCCCTCATGCGCCACAAGCCTAGGAACCTCGCCACCTGTAAGAATGCAACGTGAGGCTGGAAAGCAACGAGACCGCATCTGTATCGCGCACCTCGGTGAATCATCTTGTGCCACTGAACTTCGTCCCGCACTCGCTTGAACGCCACATCTGCGAGGTCAGGAGGAAGCAACTCTTCCACCAGATACGTATCTCCTTCACCAATCTTCTCGCCAGGGTTCAACAAGGTTGGCTCATATCGCCGATGCTTATGCGAGATCCCCGACTCCATGGGTGTAACAACGAGATAAACTCCCGATGGCGGAAAGTATTCGAAGATGTTCAATCAGAATGAGAGATTGCGCAACTGAATGTAGCAGTCAGCCGAAGCAAGCACGATGCCCATTGACGTTAAGCCGAGTCAGACGAGCCACAGCCACCAGGCCCAGATTTCCACGATTCGCTGCATCATGTGCAATATACAGAGAGCCAGCCCAGAGTAATCCAGTAGATATCTGCAATGAACGATGCTTTACGCAGAGCCCCAAATACGACAGTGAATTTGTGCGAAGACTGTCCGCATGCAGCAAGGGAGGACGGGCCAGCAGGGAGGGGGATATATTATTCCAAAAATCGCGATCGACTTGCGTGCCGGCAATCACCGAGCGGTGGCGAGGAGTAAGAATGCACCTAAGCGCCCGTCTGTGCTACTCACTCTGATCTGTAGTGTGGCTTCGGCATCAAACAGCTTTGTTTCTTTGTCCGTTGGAGTACACGGAGGGGTATTGCAGAGCTTCATTCTTCTACTAGACGCAACATTCACGAGCGGATGCAATAAACAGCAAGCATGGGCCTTTCAGGAAGGAAAGTGAAGCAGCGAATCTCCCACGACCCGAGGAACCTCTCATGGGCGAACGGTACGTAGTGTCTATCATCTCATGGCTATCGTTGACGGCTTGCTAGATGCAAACAAGTTTGGTTCTGCCTACCTCCAAAAGTTTGGCTGGGACTCCTCTTCCGGCCTCGGTCCGTCCGGTGAAGGACGTACCAAGCACATCTCTGTATACCAAAAGCTAGACATGCTCGGTATCGGCGCGGACCATAAGAACAGCGCGGATGGTACTGCATGGAAGCAGGGGAGAGATTTCGAGAATTTGTTGCGCAAGCTGAACGCAAGTGCAGGGAACACTGATGAGGTGACCGAGGTGGCCGGGGAGCAGATGAAGGTGGATGGGTTCGTGAGGCCCACGGCGCAGGCGGAGACTGCGTCCTTGGACAAGGATGTAGATGACCAGGCCGAAGGCGAGCATTCAAAGCCGAAGAAGAGCAAGAAAAGGAAACATGCAGAGGAGGAGGCTGAAGGAGAAAAGAGAAAGAGAAGGAGCAAGAAGCACAAGCCGGAGGATGAGTCCTCGGGCCAGGAGCGTAAATCACAGAAAAAGAGCAAGAAATTCACCGCTGTCGATGAACACTGTGTTGCCAACGCATCTGGATTATCCTCAACGGCTATTGCGGTCACCGCACAAGTCACCGAAACAACGACTGTTGTATCACGCCCGTACGCCCGTTCCACGTCATGCACACGCTTAGTAAAAACCTCATGATGATCTAGACACCGCGCCCATCGCGCCCGACACATCGCATCAAAAGGCCTTGCCGCCAAGTCGGCCACGGCCATATCTGAGATCCTCGGTATCGCACCGTCCTTGTCGCTCACTACACCCTCTTTGACTACCTCGGCATACTCTACGCCCATTATCGCTCTCGAAACGCCTGCCTCCGAGTCCGCCACACTATCTACCGAGCTCAAGCTCCACGACCTCACGACCTCGAGCAAGAGCGTCATGGACTATTTCCGCGAGAAGCTCTCCGCGAAGAGCAACCATGCTTCCGTACCCACGTCTGCAGATGCGTCTGCCGTAGCAACCCCCGATGCTTACGACGATTATGACGACCGTCCACGGGGAGGTCTAGGGGCTGCGAGATCGCGGGTAGAATACCGGACGAGTGAGGACTATGACGACTGCCCTCGTGGTGGATTAGGAGCATCTAGGCTGTCTAGGACCGTTCAGTCACTGACTCTGGAGTCAACGGTAGCGGAGCGGTTTCACGTGGCTGTTCTAGAGCAGTGCGAAAAGAAGAAGTCCGCAGCTTCGGGTGAGAATGACAAAGGCAAGAAGAAGGCCAAGAAGAGCAGGCACAAGGAGCAATCTGCCGAGGAACCAATGTCAGCTATGCAACCGTTTGAAAATGCGGAAGTTCAAACTATCGAAGGCTCTCCCGAGCAGCCGAAGAAAAAGAAGAAGAAGGAGAAGGGGGAAGTAGAGGACGAACGGGCCCAAATTGGCACCAGGATGACCTTAGATGCTGAGCCTGGAGCAGCTACGCAGCTGGAAAGCCAGAACGATGGCGATATTGCGGAAAAAGAAGCATCAGAGAACAAGATGAAAAGGGCAAAGAAGGGGAAACGTAAGGACAAGCAGGATTGAAGGCTCGAGTGGTTGCTGTATCCACCGAGCACTGTAGGTTCTGTTGCCTAGCGGCTTTTTTTTTCCCTCCAGGGTGTTGTGAGCGACTCGCTGGATCCTTTCTAACGGATTACCATGACACAGTGCTTAGCATACCGGCGTGATATCCCTGACCGAGCCATCCGGACTTCATGTCGCCGCCGAGACAAAATACCTCGTGAGCTCTTCATTATCCCCCTACTCAGCGTCGATTCTGCTGTAAGCAGCTCGTGTGCCTACCGCGCTCAAGTTGTGATCAGCTCAATGGAGCAAGGATCGCTGGCCTCATGTTTTCCCGTGAAGTGACGGCGTGTTGGAGAAAGTTATACACATCTCCACATTACGCCGATGTGGACGGACCCGCTTTGCTTCCGTCCGGACGTATGTGGATCCGAAGTAACTGAAAACGGCTTATTTGAAACTTCTACATTGCCATATGATCGAGGGCGCCTGCCATTGACACACCGTGAGTGGCGCTAATCTCGGGAACGGATGCGTCGCACTATATACGTACATACTACATGGGGATGCTCATACATAGGGATCAGCCAGGATCAGCGAGAGGGCGTCGATACAAAGTTATGCTACAGCGGTATCGCACAGCGGAGAACGGTAACGCTCGGTCGAGGGTCACAGTCTCAGCCTTGTGCACACATATATAGAACATTCCAGAACGAGCCAGCAGTGCCGCACCAATCGTGGCACGAGAAAGAACCGACACAAAATAAGAAGCGATGTGGAAACAACGTTAACGTTGATAATGCGTTATGCATGCACCAGAAAGCTTGCGCTAGCTTGATCACTGCGAATTCCAGTTGCTTGTGGACGTCCCGTACGAGCCAGACGGAGTGTTCTGCATGTAACCCTGGCCGCCATTCCACTCCGTACGGGTGCGAGTCTGTGACGTCAAATCGAAGTACTGGTAAGGAGTATAGCCGGCCGGAGAAATTGGTGGAGAGGTCGCTTGCTGTTGGGGGAGGTGAGCGGAAACATACGAATCGGGCTGGAGGTGATTCGTCTTGGGCACTTGCTGAAATGCCAGCGCATTAGACAGACTCGACGTCATGGACGCCTGCATAGCGCCGGAGCGCACTGCTTCTGCAAACCGAGCCGCGACTAGCGCCTCATACTCTGGCGTGACGATAAAAGGCTGGTCTTCTACACTGTCACTAGGCGTTGTCGATGCCGTGGCGGTCGGAGAGGGAAGTGGAGTGGACGTCTGGCTAACCATCGGTGTGCTGTCGTAAGACATGCTTTGTCGCTCTGGTGTTGATGTCGAGGGTGGCAGGGGCGTGCCATCGTAGCTGTAACTTCTATCCAGAGGATGTGGTGGACGGACAGAATTCATAGTCAGCAGTGCAGAGGGAGAGCCTGCTAATTTCGTCTGCGCATAAACAGGATTGCGCGACCCCGCATGATGGTATGCGAGTGCGTGCATTAGTTCAGCGCTGCGGCTGGAGGGGCGACCAGTTTGTGCGCGCCCGGTAGCTGACATCCCCGGTCGACTCGTAGTATGGAATTCTGTTAGTCGCGGTGTCATCGATTCCAGGCTTCGCAACGCCGCTGCAGTCGAGTCACTGGTCGGGTTTATGTCAGACATATTCTGAGGCGACGTTGGAAGGGAGGAGTCTCGCGTTTGTGGTCGTCGATCCGAGCCGGAGTATCGATCATCCATCATGAAACTAGTTCGCTTCGTGGGAGAAACCACCATGTTCTCTGCTGCGGCAGCACCGACGCTTATATGCGTCGGGGATGTCGGCAATGTATAAGGCACTGATGGAACGTCCAGGCGAGGAAGGATAGGGCGGGAAGGACCAATACCCCGCAGGTCACCGGCGGCGGCACGCTTAGAGCCTCTCCCTCCATTAAGCCGCTTTTTTGTGAGGCCGTGATATCGCTGTAAGTAACTGACTATACCGAGTGTATCGGCAGTCGTCCGCGACACCAGTTCTGGGGGGCGGATATCAAGTGGTTCAATCCGACTACCGGCACTGGACGAGAACGACGGCCTGGGGCTAGTGATAGAGCTTACGTAGTGGGTCGGCGAAGGCGGTAGTGATAATGAGGAGGACGTGAATATTTCAGGGCTACTGGCTGTCGAAAGGGTGTCTGGCGAAGTAGACGCGGGCGGGGACGCTGCGGCTACCACGTTAGGCGTCAACATGACCGGAAGCCGTCATGGGATCGATAGACCGTCACCTTGCTGCGACGATACACCCGCAAGGTGTACAGAAAACTTTGACTGGTCAACGGCGAACCAAGGGGATACTTCCGACAGACTTTGAACATAGCGCTGCATACAGCCAATCAGACGCAAAAATGCGTAAGGATGGATCGTGCCGCTTACTGCACGATCGAACAAATCGCGAAACGTTCTTGATTCAAAAACAGGGCCGACAATTAGATGAAGGCGAATGCATGCCTAACGAGCAGCAGGTATAAGCAGGAGCGAGGACAACGGAAAATTGACCCAACCTGACAAAGCGCCAAGGCTGTGCCTAGCCACGGATCTATCCCAGTCTGCATATGGCCAGGTCCCTCGTTTACGGACATGAGGGGAGAGGAAGCGACAATTATCAAATGCTGATTATTGTACCGTTGCTTTCCAGTATTTGCGTATATCTGAGCGCCGCTTCGTTAGTTCTCACAATCCAAATATGCGACGCGCAAGACAGAAAAAAGTTGCGTACCTTTAGGCAACGGCGGATGGTGGCCGTTGAAATCGCAGTGTCTGGCTGCTGGCCGAGCTTGACTTCGGGTATCTCATGACAGTAGCCTGCGTTCTGTATGGATGTAGTGAACGGCTTCGACGCTGCAGAGCTTGTAAGCCACCAGATATGCATCTGAGATGGCTGACGTTGTAGATATGAGTGTGGAGTATCATGTAGCAATGCACGAACCTGCTCCACCATGTCCACCGTCCGCAGACTCTCAAGTATCAAAGGAAGGTAATGCCTCCGCACATCGTTCCACTTAGCCTGCATCGCTCGCGAATCCTCCACTAGCACCATGACAAAGACATAATCACTAGGTTGACCGGCATTCGAGAATTGCGATGCCATCGCTGTAGTGGTGGCAAAAAAACTGTATATTAAGTGACTCTCAGGCCCTAGAGATGAGCACGGCGAAGCACAGTGGTTTGTCGAGAGCTACAAAGGCAGAGCAGAGTAAGAGCCGTATGCGGCAGTGAGAAAGGTGATAAGGAAAGTGTATACCGATATGGAGGTGCTGTCGGACTTTCTATTATGTATCAAAGCGAGGCCTGTTAACGCGGTGTAAATTAGTCCAAACCTTCGCCGCTTCGGAGAGGAGAGTCTGGTCCAGCGAAATGGTTAAAGCTTGATGGGCTTGATGGGCTATGCCGCTGAGCTGTCTCCGACCAATCGAACGGATTCTCACTTCGGGCTCAACAGATTCTTCCGTCGGGATTTGGCGGACGACCTTTAACCTCCCTCCTTGTCTCTCTATCAGCCTGATCTTCCTCTCGTGTCGAGCGGACAGTGGGATTCTTCCGGGTAGCAGGCAGATCTACCCGGAGATGCACGACGATCGCCTCTGAGAAGTACTAACAATAAGCCACTCTAGAGACCGTACAGAGTAATCTGAGATCTGTGAACGTGAATGGAGACGATGTGTGTGGGGAATCGCTCGGCGTGCCTGGTGAAGAGAGACGATGCGCTACCGTTTGCGCCAGCCTTGGTATGGATATTCATGAGTTGATCGCATCAGCTTAAATACTTGCCGCAGTAAAATGCACGCAACAATAACATCCCCTTCTGCTAGTCTAGACCGTTCCGGCTAGAGGATCCGTTGCACGACATGGTGATGTCGGATTTCGTGACCCGCCCATGTGTAGCGAGGTGAGGCTTCAAGCAGCGGGTGAGAGCGTGGTGGCACGGACTCGTAGGGAGCGGTCCTTGAATAATGTTCCGAAAAAGTTGTACTCATAGATTGGGGTTACATATCTATACTTTCACACGCTGGTGGCCACCGCGTCGCATGTCCTACCGCGAGGTTCGCAGGCTGAACGTGAACACCGAGCAGCGCATCCTCCACCTTCGTTCGTTCGGCTGACTCCTACATTCTACTAATGGCGGCGGTATCTCTATCCAATTCTCCAATTACTCAGGTCTCGCAAACACCCGTGCAGACCAACCTGCAACCCCACCTCCTGACGAGATTGCTTCTGGATTTGCGCGGTAAACGCTTCTCGGTGGATCGAGAAACTATCATGAACCTTCCTGAATCGGTGCTCCTCTGCTTATTCCCAAACGGTCTTGTACTAAGTCGTCAGAGCGCGGCCTTATCCGATGGGGGAGATAACGATGACTATGAGGAGCTGTATGGTGTTGACGTGCGTCTTGGTCATTCCACCGCAGTGAACTCGCTGAAACATGTCACCAGTTTGATCCGGACTGCTTCTCCTATGTGCTCACGTTCTTCCGCAATGCATCGGACGCCTTCTATGGCACACCCAGCTCTCCCGGACTTTTCGCGGCACAACAGCAGCTGGTTGAAGGCGGTTCGCCCACGTCGGACTTTGGCTCGAGCCCGTCACAGAACCCCCTCTTAACCAAGCAGGCTATCATTGTTCTCAGGGAAGAACTCGAATACTTCTCCATACCGCCCAAAGACAGCGGCACTATCACGAATCCCAATGGCATTGCCAATGATGCGCTCCTCGGGCTGAAGAGAAAGTGCGGCGAATATCTGCTGAACAAACGCAACATCTTCACCGCTCTGCAACGCAATGTGAACAAGGAGAACAACATTGCAGAACAACATCTAATTGACATGCTATGCATGAGGTGAGTGTTGCTGCGTCTGAAAGTACCCCATTCCGATGGCATTTGCGTAGTGGATTCGATCGAGACGACGAGTGGGGATACCGTGCTATGGAGCCTTCACGATGCTGTATATCATCGATAGCCCTTGTGCTATTGAAGACAGGCATTGTTCACCACCCACCTGGCCCGAATGGTGAGAGGCAAGTGACGGTCGACTACAACCAGATGACCACGGCGCAGAAACTCCTCCTGTTCTGGAGAAAGCCCGCAGTACGTCTTTCACTATGTTCGGATATGGTTGAGGCTGACATGAGAACCTGCAGCGGAAGTGCTGGTGGGACGGGATTGAGATAAACCTTGCTGTGCCTGGCGAGCCGGAGAAGCTCGTTAAGCTGTGGGCACGGAGGGTGTGGACACTAGAGCTTAGCTTGGTATGTTCTAGCGTTCGATCGGAACGCGGTATTCTGCTCACACTGAATTCGCAGGTGTGACCCGTATGTGGGCAATCTCTCTCATTTTATCACGTAATATCCACGATGTTCCCTCTCTCACCCTCGCTGCATATACTGGATACCCATTCATGTTGATACGAAATATCAGTTGCGTATATATTGCTCTGCTATTGCTATCACGAATGTGTACCTTGCGCACATTAGCGCATTTGAGCACTCATGGTGATTGGTCCTGACGGATCAGAAGTCTGCTTGGAACGCACGACCATTCTTGCGGGGCGATTAGCTTTATAGAGGATAATTCTCAGGAACTACTCACTGTCGGATTCATGGAGCATCGACGCTGCGAACCTCTAATGCACAGGAAGCATTTTCGATTAAATCAATGATCCCAAAGTCGATGGATTCGCCACCATCTTCGAACTCCGATACAAAGTCCGCTGTGGCTCGGCTGTTAGTTATTTGCTTTCACCGGCACGCCATCGGCCCGTGTATATATTGATCTTTCATTTTCTGTCTTCTGGTGCTGGAGGCGTGCCTCAATATTGAATGAGACAGTAGTTAAAGTAAGAGATCCGGGTACACCATCATATTATGGACTTCGATCTCGAATCACTTGTGAATGTCGAACAAACGTGCGTCCCATGTCTTGTATGACTGTGCTCTAATTCACAGCACGTCGGATGAACAGATTCTACGAAGATGGGTTCAAGGACGGCTACGAGCATGGTAGCATCCATGGCTCCATCGAGGGACGTGCGCTGGGACGAGAGAAAGGCTTTGAAATGTGGGAAGAACTCGGTTTCTACGAGGGTTTCACCATGATGTGGCAAGCCATCCACACCAAAGAGGGCGGAACGGAAGAGTAAGCCGTGTCTCTCAGTCATACGGGAACGTTTCTAACAGAAATCCCTCATCGATACCATTAGCCGCGTCGCACATCACATGCGGCACCTGCTCGAGCTCATCGCCCAGTTTCCGCGCGTCAACCCTTCGGCGAGCGAACCGTCCGAGCTCGACATTCCGAGGCTATTCCGGCAGATCCGCTCGCGTTACAAAGCACTGTGCGCCAGCCTCGGTGTCAGGTCGACGCTGCGTGCTGGCGGAACGTCCGACGCACGCGGTGACGGTGATCCTATCGACAACGCGGAGAATCCACGTGTGGAGGGGTCAAGAAGAAGCGTGTGGCCCTTGCAGTCCGCTGCCACTTCCGGAGAACAGTTGAGTTTCTGAGGCGTGAGGGCTCTATGCGTATCGCATATGGACGGAACATTCGCGGGTTTTCCGCCACCACGGGAATGATTATATCGGTGGTGCTCAGTTCATCGTTGCTCACAGGCAATCGTGACTGACAATCGCCGTTCCACCACGCAGCACAGCCGTGTCGTGATGGATACACGAATCGCAGAGGGCCTACGGCCTCACGCAGCGCTTGCCTATTGCTTCATAGGGGTCTGATCCGTCATCGACCTCGCCCATTCATAGTATATCGTCAATGGGTTCTGGACATCTCCGTGTCTACCCCTCTTGCATTTGTGAATCGGCCTCGGGAGAGGCTCTAACCCGGATCTCAGCGTGGTGGCGGTATGCACGAAGTACGGGCACGAGGCTAGCCAGAAGCCACATACATAGCTGTAATGTGTAAAGATTATCCCAAATCTCGACGCAAGTTCTGTCGTTTGCTATCACCACTTCCTTTGTCTAGGCCATCTGGCATGCTTCTTCGGCAATCAACGAACGCGCGACCTCGCCGCTCAAGACATTCTCCCACACTGTCGCGATGGTGACTTACAGTTGTCGACCATCGACAGGGAATGCGGATCGGGTCTCCTCTCTTCATGTGCTGCGAGTACAGTGGTGGTATCGTGCTCTCCAGCAGCCAAAGTGTTTCATACTCGTGTATCAAGCATGTATTCATCTATTTGAGTACTGATCTTCTCTCCGATTACAGCACGACGTTGGCGCGTGCCTCAGCTTCTCTAGGATCTTGTGTGCTCCGGTGCCTTCGTTGCCTGATATGCTCTATGAAAAGGAACCCACGACAGAATCGGATAATGGATTGACTTACTCTGTTCAATTGCGAAGCTTCTGGGCACCATAACGTGCCAATTAACGTTCGATAGTCGTCCTATGACGCCCCACGGGTCAGTCAACAATGCAATTTCATGTTGCTCACCTGACAGTGTGTTATTCGTTTCAAAACCTCACCGCCAGGCTCGTGCATTGTTCCAGGTGCACTCCACCATGAAGCACGTTTGCATTGATAGATAGCTGACCGATCGTGATCAGATGGACAGCGCATTGTCGGGTTGACAGTAAACTCCGAGAGAAAAGTTCGACATGTTTGGCGTCCATCCGCATGTCAGACTTCATTCATCGTTATCTGGGTCTTCGGCCAGACGATAGGGGACCGGATCTTCCATAAACATACCACGAAGCGTGCACCGTAAGAATGCGCCGCATTCATACGTGATGCGGCGGCAACAGTATTTGCATTCTCGGAGCTCTCAAAACTCTCCCATGTCGAAGAAAGTTCGAAAACTCGATGAATGGCAGTATGGTTTGGACGCTTACTATTTAATCGCTTCCGAGCATCATCCGACTATGTTGCGAGCCGCTGCACCAAGAATCATCACAAGGGCTATGTTTGCGGCCTTTCGAAGTCGTCACAGGCACAAGCCCGAATAATCAGGTGAGGATCCGCATTCATGCATTTGATCATGGACAACTGAGGATTCTCTCAGTGATATACTCGATGTCACCATGCTATCAGCTTGCACCAAGAAGTTCTGAGAGAATCGCTGAGCAACTGATGACCTGTTCATTTTTCTGAGGGCTTTACCCCTCGTAAAGGAGCAGCATCACAAGTTCTTTTTTCATTTATTCCAAAATGACCACTTACAGACACCTTGAATGTACTGACTACTGCAGTTTTGAACGGGCATTTACCACTGTGAGCGCGCGGGACGCGACGGTCACGTGGTCGCGTTCATCACGTCGATATTCGATGGTCTCGCGCAATCCCATCCGAACGGCAACTACGCAAGCCGACGATGGCGTCGTCCTCATTTACGGCGTCGCTTTTGCGATTGCTCCTGCAGTTGCACTCCTTTCACTGCAATCATCGACATGGAGACTCTTTCGGTCGAATTGCACGCACAAATTTTCGACTACGCCTGCACCGATGATGGCTCAACTGCTCGCTCGCTCTCGCTCGTATCTCGCTATATGCGTGAGGTCGTAAGGCCCTTTCTCTACCAGTCTTTGGTCGTCAGCGGCTTTGACCAGATGTCTGAGCTGGAAGCGCGCATCCGCCATTTACCCCCATACCTTCGTCGCATTCGCCACCTTTTTCTGTCGGGCCGGAAGAAGTCGCAGGTTGCTGAGGAGAGAGATATAGAACATCGCGAAGTGGAGGAGTCTCTTGCCAAAAGCATTCTAACCCTAGCTGCACCGACTCTAGAGGCGCTGACGTTGATCACCTCGTTCCCCCTCAGCAGCACTTCCATGATCACGTACCTGTTCTCCTTGTCGTTACCTCAATTATGCGAGTTGTCGATCAAGGGATTCTACCCATTTCCCAGCAAGCGTCTCGCAATGCCTCGCTTAGAGCGCCTTCATCTCTCGGGTATCCGTAATCCGCATGGGCTGTTAGGCTTCGGCGCGCTCGACGCTGCATGCCCGTCCCTCACACACTTGCGCATCTCCGGGCTCGTGTCTGCAGTCTCCTTCGCCTGCGAGCTGCGAGAAGCTCTGCATCCAGAACGGAGCACTCCATTGCGATTTCCTGCGACGCTCCCTCGCACCATCGAGCATGTCGTCGTGCAGTCAGGCTCTTTCCCGAAGGGCTTTCACCAGTACAGCGCTGCGCGCATGGGCCACGCCGAGATGGCTGCCACACTGGAGGAGCTGCTCCTCGCCGCCGAGGACACAGAGGTTAAATTCACTCTGTCATGTCAAAACGATGATACGTACGAGGGGATGTTGCGTAGCTGGACGGATAGGTTAGGCAATGGCGAAGGTTGCTGGTCAACACAGGCATCTAGAACATAACGGACAGTGCACTCATCGATATACCGTAGATTGCATAGTGGCCACTTTCTGCTACACTCATCAGTAACTGAATTTACAATGACACGGTCGCTGCTGCCGAGGTCTGATAAGGTAGGGGTGTACGCTAGACGCGCTTGCTGTTCGCGGCTGCGAGCTTAGCGGGTCGGCCAACATTCGTCCAACAGATTCTGAACTGCCCTACGGACACTCTCAACGGCCATCGTTCATCACGCAGCTCAATTTTTGTAGTGAATGCGGCAGATGCTGAATGCACCAGCCGGTTCCTCCTCCTTCGCCTGGCTCCATTTACCTATCTCAGTTCATCGCTCTCTGGTTCATCTCAGAACATCATGGGTGCATACTACGACGAGGTGGAGATTAAGGACATGGTCTGGGATGAGAAGCGGGTTAACATTATTCGTGTCCCTGTGGAGCCCGCTTCGAGATTTCACTGAAGCAACTCGCAAACAACGAAGACTTTGCCCTCTCGGCAGTCTTGTCATCCGAGTGATCTACGATCTTGTGAGTCCTATTCATTATTTCTGCCAGAGTGGAGCTTATGGACTGTTCATCTAGCTCGATTATGAGGACGAGCCCTGGGATGAAGACGATGAGGGCGAGACTGCAAGCGATGGCAGTGGCGAGGGGCACTTTGAAGACGCCTTTGATTGTCTCAATATCGCTGGCAAGCAGCCACGCTCTGTCGCCGTCGCTGTGGGCCAGCCAGTCAAGTTGGTCGATAGACAGAATCGGGCTCGGCACTGCACACAGCACTCGCTGACTCGCCCAAAGTATGATACTCCATGTTCGTTCGCGATCCGCCACTGCTGGCAGCATCTTCAACACAAGGCTCTTATGTCGCCTGCAACAGAGGATCGCTCCGCTCGATGTGGGTATGAGCACTATATTATATCTTTTTACGCTTATGTGGAATGTGTACAAGAGTGTGGGTGAGTTGTCCCTGCGGCATACTTGATATTTCGCATCGATCGCGCGAGGGTGAAAGCACTCCAGTACTATCATGTTGATTACATGACCGCCGATGTTTCAAAGCTTGAGACTCATTCCGACAGCACACCGTGCCCGCGGCGATCATGACATCGGCTGGTCGCTTCAAAGATCTGCATTCATAGCCGAGAAAAATCAATCTGTATAACGAGGACATAGGTACAGATAAGCGAAGCAAGGGACGGTGACATGGAATCGTGTCCGCCATGCAGTACTTACATCTGGCACTGAGTACACAAACTGGCGTAGGAACTGCGGGACGTCCGAGAATATGTCGCCGATGCGATGCAAGCGTCATGAGGGTTTTCTGTGAAGACGGCGATATGGTGACAAGGGGTATCATGATGACCGTGGACGACAGGGTAACTGTGATAGTCGACGAATAGGGCAGGGGATATGCGATAGGCCACAGTGACAATGACAATGACATGCCATATCCAGGATCACGGTAACGGCGTGACGAAGGCGAGCAAGGAGGTTGGATGAGAGTACGATGCTCGGACTGAAGCCTGGCGGAGCTGCACGTCCAGGATGATTTGGAAAGGAAAGTGAAGATGAGCTGGCATGACTGTGAAAGCAGAAATTGCCTATGCGGCGGTTTGCTCGATTGGATGAGGCTGCTTATCGGCCAGTTGTTTTCCTTTCAACGCCCCCTCAGTGTCACTCGGAAATCGGTGTCCGCCATGATAAATACTGAATCCATGTGAGTTCGGTCAGGTATCCAAGAAACGAGGATGACGCACGTCAACCTGTTCTTGTCATTCAGTTTAGGAAAACGGGCGCAGATCTCTGTGCAAACGTTGACGCGCTGTGAGTCATTCAACACAATACCGGCAAAGTCTATCCACAAGTCTCGCAGCTCGGCAAAATGGCCCTCAGCCAAAAGCTCATCAATCTGAATGCAGACCTCTGGATCAAATGCATTAAGCAAAGCATCTGTCTCCCATTTTGAATGGCTTTCTACGGAGAAACGGATATAATTGAGATGTTTTGACGATACTGTGTTGAGCAGAGGCAGAAGCACACTCTGGACAAACAGTGCAACAACATTCATTTTCGAAGTGTCGATTCCCAGAATCAGTTTCTGCAGATTGACGTTTGCTTCAAAGCTGACAGGGTGCACTCAAAAAGTATGAGCCATGCTTTGCATGCGTCATTATTTGAGTGAATACTCACGGAGCAAGGACTGGAAATCGCCATCGGCATCTTCCTCAGGTGCATTGAATTCGATTTCTGCGATCTCGAGCCCCCTGCCGGCTATGTTCAACATGCCTTGAGTAAAGGCAAGAGCCGCCGCAGAGACTTGCGGAGTTAGGGAGACATTTTCGAGGACAGCTCGATCCAGCAGACCGAGAAGGATATGTCCAATGTGTTCGAAGCACGACATGTCATACCCAAGAAAAGTCACTGTCGTCAAAGGCATGCGGTGGTGTTCAGGCAGTGGAGCCATGGATCTCCGTTCGCTCCAGTGCAGGTAGCGGCACTTAAGGTGCTGCAGATGAGGAAATGAACAGATGAGCTGAAAGAAGGGGCTCGCCGATGGCAACGTTACATTCCATAGCTCTAATGATGTGAGATGACTGGATTCGCTCAAGCTCCAAAACGCCAAATTGCGCGTAGAACACTGCTCGAAGCTGACGTTCGTGAAGGCGAGCGAGGCCAGCTTTGGAAGTTTCCCTGCCAGCATCACGAGAATCGATCCCAACTCCGGACCGGTCGTAATAGTGGTCTCCGAGACAGACCCGATCGATAACCATTGCACGCATGCACCGAGGAGAGGTATCCGCGTCAGTGACCTCGCACAGGCGGCAGCCTCTTTCCGAGTGTGGAGCCTGGGCGTCTCGAAAAGGACCGCGCGGCTCTCGGTGTACCACCCTTGGCAAACGAGGGCGCAGTTCAACAGAGTTTCTTCTTCGGTCCACGGATCGAGATGGTCGATGATGCGCTCGAAGATCTCGGGCGGAAGTCGAGGCTGAGGGTTATTAATGACAAGCTGGGCTGCATTGGCGTCCACCGGTGCGGCCATGGCAGGATCGGACGGCTTGTATTGTTATATGAGCAAGTGTCAGAGGACATGACTGTAGCTGCTCACGAGTGGATTTAATGTGCGCGAGACGTGGCCCGACGAAATGGGGAATGCCAATGATGTCGATGAGAGTGAATAAGAGTGGAATGGACGGCCCTGCGGCAGCTTGGGGTGTGGAAGATGAACGTAACCACCGAACCACAAGCGCTCACTGGTCCAAGACGGTCTGCTGACGCTTACACAGCCTCTGCTGGCGGCATTTTGATCATTGCATACCTCCACTGTGCAAGGATACTATAGTCTATGGTTGGCCGGGCCATTCTGCAAAATATCTCGTAGATCACGTATAACAATTCGAGTCGTTGGCCAAATCACTTTACTTTTTAGCAACGGGTGCGCAAACATTTAAACTAGCTATATAATTCATAAGCTCACCAAAAGGTGGGGAGAACAGCGTGTCGGAGAACTTCCAAGTGAGAGGGTGCTGAACGGAAGGGTAATCAAAGGGTAATGCAAAGTCTTGTCACCCATCAGTCACATCTTGCCGCGCAACTCCGACAACGGCTTGTGTCGGCACATGCGGCGAGTTGCTTTATGATGCAGGTGCCACTGATGGCGTGATCGGACTTCGAAACCGTGATTGCCTTTCCGAGCCGCGGTGGTCGACACCCGTCACGCCTGGTCAATGTCATAGCCCACAAACAAAACCGGACTTTTGATAATGTGAATGTACATATGGCACTGCACTATAGTGTGCGCCGCAGTCGCTGCGAAACAAATTCCTGTGATGGACGGGATACCCGGCAACGGCGGTATGGTGTTGATGTTCCAGGTCCGATTTCTACATAAAAGATCAAAGTAACAATACCAAAATATCGCATCATTCTTGCAACGAGAATGTGTACCACAACGATCTCGTCAACCGAATGCCACACTTCAGCCAAGCTGCACTCATGCGATGCTGAATGCATCTGATCCAGACTTTGAGGAACGACCATGTGTTCGTTTCGCAAACCGCAGCAGCGAGACAATCGCCGCAGCCGTCATCCCGTCCATGCGCTTCGCTGCCCCCTAACCGCACATGGTTCAGCATATCGCGTGGGCCTAACTCAGGATAACATCCACTCACGATGCTCGTCGGCCGCACGCGAGCCAGACGCTCCTTGGCCTCCAAGCTCAGCCCCACGACAGTGTTATAGTCGAGTCGTGGGTCAAGAGTGAGTGTTTCATCTTCCATAAAGATCCGCAGGTCTGCTTCTTGGCGGCGAAGGTGAGTCTCGTAGAGAGCTGAACAAGCCGCAGTGAGGAAGAAGCACGGATGTGTAGTATTGGTATAGGACGTGCGCACCCTCGATCACGACTCGATTCAGGATCAGTGGCTCAACAGAGGCAAGTTCCGGTACGACAGGTATGAGATCATGGATATCATTGTTACGATGCCGGAGCATGTCGTACGCGCTACATATGTTTCGCATTGTCAGCTGTATAAATCGCAAGGATGCATAAACAATACCTTCGCCAGTTCCCGTCGCTCGAGACCTCAAAGCCCAGTGCTTGCCACCTCTGATAACCGTTATCAGCATAGTGACACCACACACACGAAACACCGCTGACGTGAGGACTGTACATGCACGACCTCATCAGGTTCGTAACCCGCTCGAGCTCATTGCGGGTTGCGACGAACGCCGACCACCGCTCATTCGACACCGCACCGATCTGCCGTCCTGCGTGACATGAGCGAACGCTGTCGTATGCGATTCAGCATGTAGCACAACGCACCCTTCTCAGTGAGACGGATGTCGGCATTGTCGCTCCTGATAGTCATGCGGTACTCGGAGCGCGACGTGAACATGCGATCTACATGTAAAGATTGGCCAAGTAAGTGGTGCATACCTCAGAATATAAAAGATGGACACCCACATGGCTCTTCCGCCCCTTTAACAATGAGGTCATCAATCATGACACCGACGTATCCGTCTGCGCGAGAGACAACAAATGGAGGGCGATCGAGTGCGGACAAGCCAGCGTTTATGCCCGCAACGATGCCTTGCGCAGCAGCCTCTTCGTAACCGGTCGTCCCTTGATATCGTCGTGAGCGAATATAACAAGAAAAAACGTCAACATGAGCACCGTTTATTTGACCTGCGAGAAACAGGCCCTGAAACTTAGTGTAAAGCGAGATCACGTCAGAAATCGCCAAATGTTCGATGTACCTTGATACGTTTCGTCTCCAGCGTAGCTGGGAAGCAGAGTCAGCTGAGTGATAAGCACGGATAATTCGCTCCCAATACTGACGTCTTAGCTCCCTGGGATCGACGAAATCATATTCGACACCATATGCTGGCCGCGCTAGCTTCACGTTCTCCAGTCCCGGCACAGAGCGATAAAGCGCTTCCTGAGCATCCTCAGGCATGCTGCATGACAGCCCATTCGGATATATCAGCTCTTCAAAATGCGTTATCAGTAAATTCTTTTAAGGCGGAGATATGTGGAAAGCGTATTGATGTGTGTGGCCGTGCAACCGTACGTACCGGAATCGTAGCCTTCTGGCTCTAACCAGACCGTATGATGCTCTTTCTGGGGAAAGCGCAATATTTTCGCCTCTAACGAGGGACAGTACCGAGGACCTGCCGAGAGGGTGAATTACTTAGAGTAGTGCACAGAAGACATGGCAATTACCGCACCTTTCTTGGTCTCCTGTATATGGACGCTACGGTGCAAATTGTCTCGGACGATCTGATGTGTAGCAGTAGTTGTGTAAGTCTGATAGCAGACGACCTGGTTGTTCTGTGGAGTCAATCGAATCAACATGGACTCTGGAAGTGAGGGAGAAGTCCACCGACTGCGTTCGCCACGCTATTATTCATGTAGCTGAAAGGAGTAGGTACAACATCTCCTGGTTGCTGTGAGAGATTATCGAAGTTGATACTGTCCTTGTACAGCCTCGCAGGCGTCCCCGTTTGCAGTCGACCAAGTTTGAACCCTGCATTGCGGAGAGAAGCGGAGAGACCCACGGATGGCGCTTCGTTCATCCTTCCTGCTGGAAAGCGTTTCATTCCTGCACTGACGTGAGAAATCGCCAATGATGTTAGCAATAACTAACCGACCGATGTGAATCTCTCCAGAGAGGAACGTGCCCGTGCAGATGACGACTTGGGAGCATCGAATAATCTCGCCCGAGTCTATGCCAAAATTAGCAGCAGACTCAGAGAGACTGAGGTATGAAAACACCAGCCTAGTTGTACGCCTTCGACTGCAGGGCCCATCTGACCGTCAGCAACGGCACTGGGCGAGTGATGCAGTACGAGGTCGAATACACTCGCTGCACGTACGTCTAAATTAGGATAGTTATGAAGGGCTTCTTGCATGTGCTTTTTGTACAATTTCCTATCAATTTGAGCTCTGGGACCCTATAAATCGTTTGAGAGCGAGAGAGAGAGAAGACAATGGACATTCACTAACCCAGACTGCAGCTCCTTTTGAACGATTCAACATGTGAAATTGGATTCCGCCGTTGTCTAGAATGCACACATGAGGAAACATGAGCACAAGATGGGATGAGCAACAGACCCGCTACCCGGCCGCATAGGCCGTCCAGTGCATCGACCTCGCGAACCAGCGTTCCTTTGCCTACACCGCCCATGGACGGATTGCAGGACAGCTCTCCAATGTTGTCCAGCTTCTGTGTAAGTAGTATTGTCCTTGCTCCAGTTCTTGCCGCACCTGCAGCTGCTTCGCAACCGGCATGTCCGCCACCAATGACACAAACTGAGACACTGTGAGCGACATAAACTGGGCGCTGCACGGGAAGGCTCGCACCATCGTACGCATCCGTGCTTTTAGCTAATGACATATAATTTCGAATGTTGTACTCATGCCTCCGGAGTAAAGTGCGTGTGCAGCTCTTCATTTCAGGAGATTTGAGTGGCCGGCGGACAAATGATCGCGAAGCGCTCAGCGGGCGGTTGTTTGGATCAGAGGCTGTTGCCAAACAATTTCCATTCTTGGTGCAACGGCTCAGCAATTATGTAAACAAATGCCCCCTTGAGCTTTCCTCCTCTTCTGCCTGGCTTTGTTTGCCTGTCTCTCAGTGCACATCGCTCTCTGGTTCGTCTCAGAACATCATGGGTGCATACTACGACGAGGTGGAGATTGAGGACATGGTCTGGGATGAGGAGAAGCGGGTTTACCACTATCCATGTCCCTGCGGAGACCGCTTCGAGATTTCACGGAAGCAACTCGCAAACTACGAAGACATTGCCACCTGTCCGAGTTGCAGTCTTGTCATCCGAGTGATCTATGATCCTGTAGGTCCTATCATTACTTATGCCATAGTAGAGCTCATGGACTGTTTAATTAGCTCGATTATGAGGACGAGCCCTTGGATGAAGACGATGAGGGCGAGGCTGCAAGCGATGATTCCGATGAGAGCGATGACAGTGACGAGGAGCACTTTGAAGACGCCTTTGACAGTCTCAATATCGCTGACGAGCAGCCGTCTGCTGTCGCCGTCGCCGCATGAGTTCAGCTGGTCAAGTTGGTCGGTGGACAAGATTGGGCTCGGCGTTGCACCGGCACATGTTGACACGCCTACATCTAGCTACCACATGCTCGTTCATGACTCTCCAGCATACTCAACACAAGGCTCTTATGTTGCCTTCAATAGAGGATCGCTCCGTGCGCTGTGGGTACAAACACTATATCATATCTTTCTACGCTTACACGGAATGTGTATTATCGCCTCACAGATATTGATGGCTGGCCCAGATGGGGTATATACCTTGGATTCAAGACTCTGGTCGCACAGAAACTTGATGAGACAATATTCTAGCTAATCTAGGAGCATCAATCGCGAGGGTGATTTTGCGATAGTCAGGTTCAGTGCAGTCAGTCGTATTCTTCTAGACCTTTGTGGTACTGTTGCAATCCTGTTCTTTTAAATTAGTTGTACGATGTGCCGGCTTATGAATCTTTACTGAGCTTCCTGCGATTCACAGTACAGCTCGAAGTCTCGTGTGGTCCTCGGTACTGCCATGATATCAGTTCAAAGCGTGATGGTGAAATGTGTTGGGACGGGTTACGAAACTCTGAGTGGACAGAACCCTTGGTCCTTCGTCCGCCAGTGGCGGCAATGATAGCTCCGAATGGTCTCATCAGGGTGATATTCCGTGCAATGTGAAAAGTCATTTGCGTTCCTTGGGATTCGGAACCCTATACTTTTTTTCGGATCTCGCTACTGTCGTTCACAAGGTCAGTGAGTGCCTGGATCAATACTCGAAGCTCCTTCCTGACGTTCGGAACTGAGAGTCATCCAGCGTTTGCCCCTTGCTAATTTACGATCTTCAGGCCCTGGGCTCTAACTCCGCTTTCCGCCGGAATTGTGACTATTAACTATGGACAGCGTATTTTCATCCAGCCCTCTACCGTCGTCCCATTCCTCCGTGTCGTTCAGAAAGTGTACTAACGGTAAGAAAAAATCGATCTGCGTTGGGAACGGTGTTACTCAGCCGTAGAGACCCGCGCGGCTTCACTGTCGAAATCCAGCCCCTAAGGATAGCAGCACCACTGATTGATGCGGTGCGCCAATCATGCAACCCACGATGGCACCTCACATGGGGTCTCCGGCGTAATTAGCGCAGTGCCCAACTGACAGATCGTGCGTCGATTCTCGCTGATCTCCCAATCTGGTTGCTTGCGACTGTATGGCTTCGTCGAAACTATGCCTGACACAAACTCAAGACGACGTCTTCGCTGCCAGTGTCAATGTACGGCGCAATTTGGATGGCACCGTGGGACGAGCTCCGAGGCATTATGCCATTCACACTAACACTGGAATTGCAGGTTCGTTGTTCGTCCTGGTGAAGCAATGATGATCAGTCCCAGCATACATGCTATCGTGTGGCAAGGTGTCGGCATTATGTAACACGTAGGTATGCCGGGCACGTCAAACAATGGCTTCTTCACGGGCCCCATGCGACCCGTGCTCACGATGTCAAAGTGTCCCATCAGTCACCACGTAGCCGCGCGTTCACTGCCCTTTTCTCAGCGGCACAGTGTGGTACTCATATTGGTGGCGGCTAGGCCATCCCATTTCATACGCCGCAGTTTCTCTCTCTCCCCTTACGTGCCAAGCTCTTCTACGACTTTATCCGGGATACTGAAACCGTTGGAACCATGTCAGCTATCGAAAAACTCACAGGCGCGCTCCTCATTGAGATTTGCATGGCGGTGATGTAGGTCCTGTGATTATCGCTGCATAACTCTCAATATCTCTGACATGTTAGTTCGGTCGTGCAGGCTGTATGGAATGTCTACTATTCAGGCGTATGTCTACTGGTGGAACTATCCTGACGACCCTCTCACGATCAGGTCCATAGTCGGGACGGTTTGGTAAGTATTAGCGTTGTCTTATTTTCTTCTACGCATTGACGCTACGTAGGATCTTGGAGACGACCCACACGGCGTTTTGTCTCCATCTCATATATAGTTATATGGTCAAGGATTTCGGTAATGTGCAGCCAATCGAACACATTGTGTGGTGCGTTAATATCCTGTGCTGTGTATTTATTCATCATTGATCGTCGACAGGAGCGCCGGGGTAAGCAATCATTGAGTGTCTGATCAAGTGAAGTTGTCCAACCTATGTCGATTTGACCATGACTGTCAGGCTGCAGTACTGGTGGCGGTATGCCGAGATCTTCTAGGTAGCTTGTGATACCGGAATAACATGCTCATCCCCTTTAGGTATTCGTAGCCGCGATCGCTCAAGGGTACGTCATATGAACCTGATCGCGCATAAGTCCTAACCGCGTTTGTCACAGTTTCTTCATACGTCGGATTTGGGTCTGTGCGTGATGCTATATAGTCACGCCGGATCTTCTACTCACGCTCGGACATAGTGAGCCGGAACAACCGCTTTATCACTTGTGTTGCAGTAAGGTTGGTCTCTTTTCAACAATTGGTGGTCCTAATCAAAGATGCACGTCTCAGGCAACATTATTATTCTGTCGAGTTTGTGAGCGAAACTATCACGACCGTTTGGCGTATACTGATTCGCTTGTTATAGGCACAGGCATCGGTGGGGATATTCTCCCGTTATGATTCATGCTGTTCTCTCATACAATCATTCCTCGTGCCAGCAACCTCTATCTTATCGTATGTCCATGGTGTCAAGTGTGAACCGTCGCCCCTGACGCCATACCGATCACAGATGGAATATCACCGAATGGGCCAGTTTCCGCACGTCGATTGGACCCTTGGTAAGAGATATTCCCGGAATGACGACAGAATTTGACTTAGTGTGCTCCCATGAATAGTTCACCCTAACGTTCGGCGTCTCTTTGGCGGCCACCGAGGACATGCTCATTGCTGGAACGCTTATATACTACCTGCAGAAAAGCCGCACAGGAGCACGGAGGTATGCATCAGTCATCAACCGCAGAGCGACTTCTTACTGTGGTCATGTATTGCAGGACAGACCACCTCATCAGGACATTGCAGACATATATCATCAACACAGGAAGCCTCACGATGTTCGTACTTGCGATCCCCACTAGTCCTGCGCAGCCGTATGAATAATGGCCATCTTTTCACTGCAGGCTTGTATCTATCACGATCGTTTTGACCGTGAGTTGCTACAGTCTCAACTGCTGCACGCACGCATGTTGACAGCATCCTGCATTCTGTAGTATATATTCTATGAGGGCAGTTTGCTCTTCGTAGGCATGGTCACCGTGCAGGGGAAACGTGCGTATCCAGGACTTTCCTCGTACAGTTCTACTGACGATGATCACGCAGTCTACGCCAACTCCTTCCTTGCTACGTAAGTTGCGTGTGCTTTCTACCTCTCAGGCTCCACCACATGCTCACGTTCGACGAAGGTTGAATGCTCGACAGCACTTGACTAGTCCTCGAGGCACCGCAGCAGGCGATGCGATCACCATGAGTTTCGCTGCTGCAAAGATTGCCGCTGGCGATAGGTACAGGGTACCAGCAGTACGTTTCCTGCACGTTCAGACCGAAGACAGAAGTGTGCTCAGCAATTTGTCCAGCGCCACATTGAGATCTATCAGACTGTCACGAAGGCCATGCACGATGACGCCGCACAAGGCATCGACGTAGGGTCCAGCATGACTGAAACTCCCGAGAATGTGGATATGGGCGTGGACGGCGTGGACGGGCGCAAAGGCCAGATTTTGGTCTAATCCAGATGCCATGGCCCGTGATCACACGAGGCGGCGAGTGCTCCCATGGAACGAATGATTTAGTGTACGATACGTGGACATCTAAGATGCTACGAATGGATGATATACAGCAGGGTTCAGGCACCGCAAACCTCAAGCATGGGGACGTGGGTGGTCGTCGGTGTCTTCTTCCGACTTATCCTGAAATGCAGAGTAGTAAGAGTCCGCGCAGAAGTACTGTAGGACGGGTTAGCTCACTCATCAGCGCGATTCCTCCAGGCGAAACCTTCGCGATATTAAAGGTACGATACAAACTGCCTATCTATATCATAATATAAGCATATACGCATATCTAGGCCGAGCATCTCTACGCATGCATACCGGCGTCATCCGTGTCGATGCCGTAGAACTGCCACATCCTCCGCGCGTCCATGTCTGGCACCCCAGACATCTGCGACCGTGTCCTGCCGTCTCTCTGCATGACCATCTTCCTCTGCGAGATTCCGATCAGAATTGGCGCATGCGCAGGAGCTACCTGACAAAGCAAAATACTTACAAGTCCAAGCGTGATCTTGATTCCGGACGGACCGGGCTTGTACTGCTCCAGCTGGACGCCCTTGATCGGGTCCTCACGTCGCTCGCTACGCTCTATCATCTTGAGTATATTGCGCGCGGCAACCTCGGCCTGCACAGGGCATCAGCACCCGCTGCCCGGACAAGCGACCGAGAACGTACCTGACTAGCTGAGTTCCGTCCAGCATTCTGCGCGCCGAACGCATCCACTGCATCGCCAATGGCAAATAAGTGCGGATAGGGCACGCGAAGATTTTCTTCCGCCTGCTGCGAGTCGGCTGTCGAGGTCTTGCTGATCGCAGTCGAGAGACCGACCGTCGAAGTCGTCGGCACTGCGATCTGCATCGTCCGCGCGACATGTACGAGGCCCTTCTTTGGGCCATCTTTGATCACGGCATCCGGGATCGCCTCGGCAACGAGCGCAGTGTTGGGCTTCTGGCCTGTGCATAGAAGCTGCAGAGTGTCAGTAGTATCCTTGAAGCGGACAAGGCGCCGACTAACTATGAGCTCCGCGCGGATCTCTCGCCCACTAAGGGTGCGAACGACACGCTCTTTCTTGCCGTCAGGCGTTGTGACCGTCTTGCCTTCTTTAATAGAGGAAAGATCGAGTCTCTCGCCAAGGATGACGTTGACGTTCAAAGCAGCCAGAGATGGCATGACTGCACTCAGTTCGCGTAAGATATGAGAAATAGGCATTTTTATGGTTTATTGTATTCACCCTCCTTGTGCATCGATTCCTCAAAAGTTGGGAGGAGGAGATCGCGGGAGTGGAGCAGCGTAACGTGCTTCTTCGGGTAGACTTCTGCAATATCGCTGGCGTACTCTGCAAGAGCTTCACCAATGCTGTCCAATAATGAAAAATTGCAGACTACTCACGAACGCCCAACGGACCCCCACCTACAACAAGAACGCTAGATGCCATCTCAATCCTGTCGTGAGCACGCTGTAACCACTCGATCCCCTCTGCCTTCGTTCCTTGGTATGAATGTGCGCTTGCTGTAGACCGAACACCGGCAGAGGTATGATGCGCGCCATCCGCCTGATGGACGCCTGTCGCCACCGCTGAGACATCCTTATCGTCCCCCACAGGCCCCCAAAGGTCGATGGGCGCAGGCAGATGGCTCCCCAGAGCATACACCACATAGTCGAAGTGCAGAGTTCTTGACGGCTCATCGATACCGTGTTCCGGGAAGGCACGAGAAAGGGACACGGTGTGCGGGGTGAGCGATGTAACTTGCGCGTGAAGTACAACGGCGTTCGTGGAGGTAGAGGCGGGCGATTCACCTGGGAGATGGAACATGGGGTTGTACGGGATGAAGGCCTTATGGGCGTGCTCAGGCAAGACGGCATAGCGCGGCAGGACATACAGATGGTTCATGTGGCTATTCCGGTCCACGACCACCACTCTCCAGTTCTTCGGGAGGTTCTGCGCGAGGAGTATGGCGGCGCGGGAGCCTTGTATACCGTGCATCAGTGCACGTATAAGCAACACAGTGCACGCGAGACTCACCTCCATAAGACGCGCCCAGCACCGCAACGGTTCGCGAAATCGCAGAGGAGACCATCTCTGTTCTCTACTGCTTTGCACCAAGAGGACTACTGTACGACTGTCATGGCTATACTTAAATATTAGTTACGATGCACAGTCGCCGAGAAGACGCGTCAATGTCGGCAATGATAGTCAGGGGGATGCCGCTCTAGCCTGTTGATCAGTAACGGCATCTGTTGTTCTGGAAGGAAAAGAGGAACGGAAGTGAGGACACTTTCTGCCGGGCGGCCGGGCGTATCAGATAAGATGCCGATGCAATCAAATTTCGGCTTATCTGATAAGATATGTCAGCATGTCAGAAATGACCGATGTTCGCTCCACTGGTTCGACTCACACAATCCCCACATAATATTTTCAGAACCATTTGGTAATTCTGCGAGAACGGGAGCCTGGAGGTCTCGCAGTTAAAATCGTGGTCAGGTTTCTCGCCGACACATCCGCTTGCCTTTGATATTAGCCTCACGCATCAGCTGCGGTTGCGAATGGATCGAGTCGAAACATTAGTACACACCTGATTTGTCAGAATCCGATCTTTTTGTGTTCCAGGCCATAGAGAGCACGGACGATGAATGTCCGGACTCCGAAGCAGAAACGTTCATGGAGCCCCGCAGTTGCACTTGAATGAGCCAAGAAAGGGCTCGCCAAGTGCTGCTGCGACGCGAGCTTGGCTTGGGCCGTGGCCTACTACATGAATATAACAATTGGTCTGCTTCATCCTCACACCGCAGACATGAAAGCATTTGCGACCGTTACTTAATGACACGAAATTGTAATTGACTGCCTCTTTGGGAAATAAAGTTGCTTAATTAGGGCATAGTGTTGCATAGGTCACACTTTAGAACACATTTTCAGTGCATTTGCAGCGGGAATAAATGCCTTCATGCCTGCAGTGTCAGCGTCCTCTTCTTTTCGTCTGAAAGGCTTGAGTTCGTCGGGATACAAGCTGCGAAGCAGGAGCGCCAGGGTCCCAGGGAATTGAGTCGGGTCGATGAAGGCGAAAGGAGGGCGTCGGATATTTAACCGCCCGCCTGTCATTGAGACGCTGCGATAGGCTCAAAGTTGATCGTTGATCACGCACGAAAACGGCGAGAAATTGACGGAACACTGACCTTGCATTCTCACTCTGCTCAGTCCGCGTAGGCGGATGTTACATGAATGCACGACATTCCGCGCTGCGACTTGTGACCGAAAGTCTTGCAAAGCTGAGCGTAAACTTGACGAGCCGGCGGCACAGAATTTGGCAACCTGTAGTCGCGACGACACGAGGATCGTTCATTTGGATAGTCGCCAACATATATGGTCCCAGCATGATCTTTACGTTTCTGCTGTCTCACAGGCTAGGAATGGACGCGACGTTCGATTCGTCTCCGTGGTGTTCAAGAGCGTGCACTTTGCGTTCTTGCCAACGACGGCTCTGAGACACCGTGAGTGCTTTGTGTCAAACAACTTTGCGCCAGGGACGCTCGCGATTATATAAATAAGAATGGATGGGACGGACCGAACGGGTTATTTCGAGAGCAGTTGAGGGAGGGTAAGTGATACTCTCGAAGGATGTTGTTACTTATCTCATGCACTTCGTCATCAGACCATCGAACCGCATCCAGCCTGAGGAGGAGCTAGCTATAGCTACGTTCTCAATTTGCCTTTGACACCGCACTACATCTGCAGCCATCTTCGTATACATGCGATTACTTCATAGAGACATCTTTTCTGGTCCTGAACTCTTCTCGCGCAATATTTTCGCGAGATTAGAGCAACTTGAAAAGTTCCGATCAGCTCTGGGAGGTGAACAACTTGCCATACAAAACAGAGCCAACCAGGTGAGCTTTCCTATCTAGAAATTCACAAACGACGGTGGAATGCATCATTATAGCGTCCGCATGTTGATTTACGTCGATAGGCGGGATCTGCTCTTCTGGATTCTGTCCAGCTGCTCACAAACTCTCAGTTTCCATCATGGCCTGGACGATCATTGTGACTCATATACTACATGCCGTATAACACTGGTGGCATGCGTGTGCTCTTCTCACATGCCTCGAAATCGCCAGTCCGATAACGCTCGCCGCATCGGATTCGCTACTCGGATGTAGCAGATCGCTCGACTATTCCAAGCTTGACTGCTCCTTGCCTCTCCTGTTAGCATGAAATTAAAGCTCCTCCTTTTGCCCTTTCTAGTAGCTGGAGTTGAGCTAGGCAAGGACCCTTTTGCTATCGAGATGGCGGTCTAACGCCTTGCACATCCGCTCTTGGGGAGGTTGACAGCTGTCTTTCTGCGTTGAATAGATCTGAAAACAGACTTTGACAAGCTGCGACGTTTTCTTCACGTTATGCAGTCCGCACAGGCGCTTTACAACGATCGACAGCAAGTTGCACAGTAAATGATCGGCAACCACATTTCCCATGTTCGTCGTGCTCTCTCCTCATTCCTTTGAAAGATAACCAGATTAGGAACACGATAGGGTTCCGATTAGAAGTGCGACTCCTTTCACTTGCGCTGATCTTCCCGCATGCAGCTCATGATCAATAGCACCGTCGTTACGTAGGGCACAAGCTGGCCAGCGGCGATGATGAACTTTAGCCTGAACAAGATGGATCATGACCACGGCATGTTCAGCAGGACGTCAAATGGGTAAGTTCGTTTGTACTTTGTACGGCGCGGCTGCATCTTGTCCATCGAGGCCAACGGCGAATCGCACGCACTGCATGCTCTAATTTAGCGTTCGTCACTTGAGCACGGTATAAAGAGAGGCCGCTATCGACACTCCAGCCAGCATCGCCTCGCATTTATTCCCATCCCGCCTCCTCATATCCCAATCACCCGAACACTTCGTCATGCCGGCTAAGGGATCGAAAGCTAGTGAGTCTGGCTTACTCCCTCCATGTGTCACCGTGCCAATGCTTTGCTCGAAATCTTGCAGCAGGTGGTGGTGCTTCCAAACAGATGCACACGAGCGATGCATCGCGCATACAGTCTGCTAACGTAGGCGTGCAGCATCATATCTTCGTGGTCTCTGCTAACGGCGAGCACAACTTTTCGATAGGCTAAGGCTGGAAATGACGCTGGGAAGGGTACTTTCCCAGCTCGCGCCCAGGCTGCTGCCGCGCGTAACGCCAACGCCCCTGGAGCGGGTGCGGGTGCGGGTGCGAAGGCCGGCAAGGGCCCAAAGGCATAACGGCGTGTCGTACAGATGTCTGTGAAGAATCGGGGTCAGACTCTAGATTGTACGATAGTTGATGACGATTCGTTCATTGTTTCTATGTTCATCTCTCCATGCGCCGTGCCTTGGACCCAAAGTTCCTACGTGTTTTTACAAACTCCTTGATATACGAATGAATCCCACAACTCGCGTTTATTCCCATTGCAGACCCGTTTCAGAGCATGCTGAGTGGTGTCGGTACTCGTGAGCATCCAAGCGTCTGGAACTCAGTGGGAAGTTCATTTTGCTCAATGTATTGGTCCATCGTGCAAGCACGCGTTATGGCTGCAGCGCGCTTGAGGCTGACATTCCAGAGCGTTGTCAGTTTTGTCCTTAGATGCCCCACATTTCGTGCATCGGGCAGCAGATTGTGAGCTTTACAGTCATACATGCAGTGGATAGGCTGAAACATTTCTGGCTGCTCAGCTGCTGCGAAAAATTCTACGCGAACATTTGCACTTTGCGGTCGTCCGCGTTCTCCACATCTACATTACTATTCGTGGGCGTGTGAGTGGAATTGAGGTCCACGACTCCAGCTTCCGCGACATCGTTATGCGTAGCCTTCGTGACAGTCTGATAAATCTGTATATGGGGCGGCAGAGGTAAAGTGCTGGTAGGCGTCTCTGACAGACGTCTAGGAGGGATTCTGGCAGCAGCGAAGCTCATTGTGATTGCATCGTCTGCGACAGTTCCTCGGGGGCTATTCAAGTGGTGTCGAGCATTGAGACTGTAAAGTCCGTGAGTAAACGAGTCTTTAGACGCGTATGTGACTCACGTTGCAAGAAATGAGTTTGCATAGACTGAAGTAATCGTTAACGAGTATACGCCTGGGAACATATATGATACAGACGTTTCCCTTGAATGGAGACCATTCCCATGAATATCAAACTGCCCTTGTAGAATACAAACTAGAGGAAGAAAATCATTGTCCGAACGGTTATGAGACAAGCGAGATCGGGCGACGTAACTGTCATGAGGATCACGATCGACGTCAGCCTACAGTGGAAGATCGTTAGTGACAACAATTTTCAAGGTCAGGTATTGAGCAATGTATACATAGTTAGACTTCCAGTATTGATGGTGTACGTCTGTAACGTCCTGATCAGATGGTCCGTGCTGGGGCACACCAAACGTAATGAGTGAAACTTTCGTGATTGGATGACACTGTATAACTTTACCTGCGTGTCCGACCATGACTCTTCTGCAGGTAATAGATCAGTGACACAGCGATTATTATGTCTTCTGCCGCGGCAAGTGAAACTCCCCAAGTCAAGGTGATCTGGTAAACATGGTACTGCGTCACAAGCTGACAATAGATCGGAGAATGATACCATTTACCAATGGCCCCAGTGCTGTGCGGAACGTGGCCCACTCTAAGATCTCCCATCTATGACAGCACCATGTCAGCTGCATGAGCAAAGTCTGCATTGTAATCACATACGACAAGGTCACAGTTCCTGAACGGCCACTCAGCACTGTCAGCCTTAGGGGTTCATGAACAAGGGATAATTCACCAATTCCTGTACCTGTAGGGAGACATTTAGTGGATATCTCGCCATCGCTTACAGATACATACCGACACGCAAAAAGAGCAGTGTTGTCTGATAAGTGTTAGATGCATCAATAGTCATTCCAACCAAGCGGCAATGACGTCTTACTGCAACAGAGGTGAGAAATCGGTTCTTCGCGCTCACTACAACAGGATCAGTGTACCGTAGGGGCTGCGTCACGATTAACATTTACTCACGAATCCAAAGTCGATGAATGAAGAATCTGATAAATGCATCAGTGGGAAAGAAAGTTTTTGAGAAAGTTGTGGCCCACCCTTGCACGATTGCCGCAATTAATACCTAAGATGATGGTTGATTTAGTGCAACCATAGTCGCCCACGCAGGTAAATCCACCTACAGCGATAAGGACTGGGATCTAGCGCAAATATTCTGATTTATAATCATCGAGCCACTCGTGCATGAGTGCACTCACCGGGGCACTCCTATCATTCGTTACATCAATATCAGCACCGAGAGGTAAGATAATTGCATACCAAACAATCTGCTCGACTTTAGCGAGGTCACCGAAATCAATGATGAGATAGCTGTAGACAACGTGGAGACAGAAAACGCTATGAAGCGTTTCCAGCAACCTTCGCAAACGTAAACACAGGAAGGTCTGTCTAGGGTATGAACGCACCAGATGACTGCCACAACTATTTTGATCTTCAACGGATCGTTGGGGTAGTTCCACCAATAGACATACGCTTGAATGGTAGACATCCCATAGAATCTAAACATAGATCGCTGAATCTCGTGCAGTGACAGGCTAAATTATCAGGCAACGTACACCATAGCTACACAGATCGTTATAAGGAATGCACCTACGAATTTCTCGATAGTGGTAGACATCTCGATGACCCAAGTCTCTGCGTTCCAAAAGAAAGAAGACAGAGAAGAGAGCGGTATCCTGGCAGCATCTATATGTCCCAAGGACCACAAGAGCGCTTCAAGTGGGCAGTGACTGAGTGGTTCAGCGGAGATCGTGGCAAAATGCCGCGATGGGGCTCAGTCGTTTTGGGACACCTGACGTGTTGCATATGCATGGAAGATGGAAGCACCTATGCACGGAAGGGATTCATATTGAGAAAGAGCGGAGGTTGCACGACCACAGCCTGGATGACCTGCACATGGCTGCTATCATAATTCGTATGCAGAACCTTATCATTCTGTTCGACTGTCTGGGAAGGTTTCCTATCTGTGGAGATCTGTTGTATTTCAGTGGAGATAGCGCTGCAATCATTGTGGGCAGCGTGGGTACGCTGCACAGGTCCATGCAACGCCGACGGCGATCAGTGTTGCAGCTTGAGTGTACTTGTCATTTTGACATGACGTTAGTGTTTACTGTATGCCGCAACACATTAATCGTCGATCGGGACACTGCCCACACGAAGAGATCTGAGATGACTGTCAGCACCAATAACTGCTGTCGCATTAAGCATCCTTCGCACCGGAGGACCGCTATCCTCCCGTCCACGGCCTCAACAAAAGCTATACCATCAACTTGTAGTCTCGTAGACCTCTCCGGCTCGCAAGCCATGCATTCTAGAAGTCGTAAGGCAAGCAAAGACTACGTGCCAACCCACTCGTTGGGGTCGCATTACCACTACTCGTCATCATGACGCGCGCATGAGAAATCGAGAATGGCTCTCGCAAGATGATAAAAGAAACGTTGGGCAAAGCCGCTGACGGATATTGAACAGGTGCATGAGCGGCTTCGATTCTGACGCTATCGTGTGTGATCTGAGAAGCCGGCCTATGGCGCGTTTCGTGAGACTATGTAGCTGACCGTATTGTTCCTAGAGTCTATGAGTTGCATATTCGTGCATAGTGTTCGCATGAGCATTGATGACGAAAGGGAGTCATAGTAGGTCACCAGCAAACCCTCGCGCGATTGTGGCTGAGACAAGGTACATCGCGGTCACATGGCCCGCCGCAACATCTTTAGCGCACCTTTATATTCCTTTTCCCCAAATTTTCTGGTACGCGATACCTTGCAACCTTGGATGTCCTGAATATTCATTGAGGCGGCTGGAACCCGAATTTCCAGTAAATATATCAGGGCAGCAATGCAGACCCCAGAGACAGACGGCAGCACGTGGAACCAGTGTTATTTGAGCACGGCTCACAGTCTCCTGTCTTTCAGATACTATCGGCGTTTACAACAACCTTCTTTTTCCAGGGAGAAAGCGGAAATACCTGCCAAGGTAAATGTACATTACCGCGACGGGTCTGAGTCATACGGGGCGTATATGTTCTGTCCCTCATCCAGAATCCCACATATGCACGCGCGTGCCAGGCTGTTATTCTTACAATTCTGAATTGACATAGCTCAGCTGGGGCTTTCTATGCGAGTTCGCAGTAATTTGACCAGGGAATACAGAGCGGGACATACCTCCCGCCAGTGAAGTTCGTACCTTGCATAATGCACTTCTTGTATCGCGGATCACAAGTCGCAGCCGTCCGGACATGACCACCCCGGTTCAAGCCTCCTGAGCCTTGGCCCGCTTTGCCTCTCTAATCTTCTTCGTCCGCAAACCCCAGTATTTCGTCTTCTGCGGCGCCTCCGCGACGGCGAGCCAGCCCCCGTCGTTTCCTGCGAGAGCCTTCCAGATCTTCGCCGCCTGTATCGCGCTCTTCTTCGCCTCCTCCAGCTTCTCCATCGCACAGTACGCCTTGCACAAGCGCTGGGACCGCACTGCCCATACCTTCTCGTTGAAGTATTTCTCCTTCTCCATCATGTCAAGCACAAACAGGCACGCTTTTGTGATCTTGTCCTCCGGCGCAGACGCATCGTTGATCCATTTCTCCAGCTCGTCGTCGTCGTAGGATGTCTCTTGCAAGCGTTGGATCGTTGCACGCCGAACATTGCTGGCCTTGCCCGCAGCGCCGGTTAGGCTGCACGAGGGACATGTGCAGAAGAAATTGTACTTTTCCTTCAGCTCCCTCCGGCGAGTGGCGCGAGGGGCAGCCTCATCTAATTCTAAGTACGACATCGTGATTTCCTCTCCCTTGCGAATCGGCGTCAATGCACGGATCTCCATCGTAAATGCCAAGAGATCCCATCGCGATATCACATTCGGAGTGCAGCTGTAACGTCGCAGTGGAATTACTTTCTCAAGTCAGATCGAATGTAAGGATTCGTACCTGTGGTTGATCCGCGAGCTCTCCATGCAGACGGCTCCACAGGCTCCATCGTACCCAGGTAGCGCGCCAATGTTGATTGCATTCGTGTCGATGATGCCCTGCTCCCGCGGGCGATCGTTGCCTTTGCAATTGTGGAGCACGTAGAACATGAGCCGATCATACTCGCACATGCGTGACAGCAGCTCTACGATAGCATCATTCGCGGATGGATCCCCGGGGCGCAAGGAGAACGGATGGACAACGGTCGAGACAAACAGCGGGCGCTCACATATGATGAGATCGCCCGTGTCGAAGTCGGCAGTAGCGAACAGGCAGAGGCCCTTGTCCTTTATTGAACGCAATTCATAACTCCGTGCGGTGTAAGTGAGAGGGGCCGGGAAGCCAGGAAGGGCGAGGATAGCCTCCTTCATCCCCACAAAGAGCAAGGTGTTAGTCACCCTCTCAGTGAGGATGGGCGGGAGTGTTACTAAGGCGCGGTGCGACATGTCGGGCGGGAAGGTTCCAACCAAGGGAGCGTCGCGACTGGTTGAGGCTCTTCCACACGGGATGGGTATAAAGCCATCGACGGTCTTCGCATTGGGGGCCGGAGATGGTGTGGTCAGTGTTTGCACTTTGACCATTGGCTCGTTGCCGGTGTTGAGTGGCTTGCCTTTCAGGACACCACGCTTCATGTCTGTACGAGGTGCTGACTTGCTCTCCGGAATGGACACTAAGCGAGGATTGACAGGAGCATTATCAGCATTTGAGAGGAAACATACCCTTCATGCTCGCATCGCAGACTGCCTCCTTCTCTACAGCGGACGCTCGAAACGCGTCAACCACTCCAGAATCAGCGTTGAGCGACTTGCCCAGGAGAAATCCGCGCTTCATGATGGCAGGCAGCAAGACCGAGAGGGAGTGATCAACGGTGTAATCGTGCACGACCTTATAAGACGAAATAGCACTGAGAAACCTCGATCAGACGTGCATGACAGCCATCAAGACAATGACAATGCACCTCTCGCAGACCCACGCTATCTTCGCGAGGCATGAGTCGACACGTGCCCTAATTATGCCTAGGTCGGCCACAAGAAGCCGGCAGATATCAACATGCGCTCGGAAAATTGTCGAGCGTAAGCCAATGCGGGCGAGAAGATGCACGATTAGGTAGAAAGAGCACCAGTGCAATGGTGGGCTGTTCGTTTCGAATATTGATGCTCGGGGCGATCACACTTGGCTTGCACGTGATGGGGGGGGGGCGACTCAAGTCGGCGGCGAAATGCGTTCCTCCGTCCACAGGAAAGCAGAAAGAAACCACGACATCAGCGGTCCTTTCGGTGTAGAAAGAAGCATGAAGCGACTTAACGGGAGTCGCGCGAGGTATATTTTAGTGTTCAGATCAACGACAGCCATTGATTACCAATTTTCCGTTAAAGCGAGTGAATGAATGGAAAGCGGTGTGGAAAGAAAAGCTGACGCCGTACAAACGAGAATTCATACTCGAGTCCTCGCACACTGTGCTCAGAAATGTACATCACACAACGTTGAGAACCTTTGCACGGGACTGGGAGGGACCAGCACGTTAAGATGATACTTGAAAGTTGAGCTTATGAATTCGCTGTTCTGTCGAGATTGCAATCTGAGTCTCGAAGACTCCTTCTGTTTCAGCTTTCTAAGTAGCCTCGTTCGAACAGCGAATTCAACAATATGTGATTGTTCATCTAGCGAGCTGGAGTACACGAAATCCGGACTCGGGCATGTGATCTTACTAAGTCACTGGGCAGATATATGCGTGCCAATAAGTTTCTTATGAGCTTTCAAAGGACATCCTTACGGTTCGCGATGCTGAGGGAGCTGCTGTGTCATGTCGCAAAGCCTACTGGCAGCCTTCCGTAAAGAACAATTCACGGCGTACTTCACCAGAATCGTATACGTCTCCCCAAGACATATTCTTCGGGCTTCAGATATATTAGGAAGCATTGAAGTAGTTTCACAGCCCCACCAGGAGCAGTGAATCCGCCGTGATCAGGCCTTTAGCGTCAGGCCCTAAAAGCACGAAGACAGATCGGTCACACATTCAGATGGGCGCGATCGGCGCGACGCGTCCGAACCAAGTGCACGTCACGGTGTGACGCGACGCGTTGATTATCACACGCTACGTCTTGTCATCTTCCATCCCATTCACATCGCCCGGAAGCGGTCCCAAATACTCAAGATGGCTGATCTGGAGGCCGCATTGGACGTTACGAGAAAGGCCATTTCTAGATCTCATACGAAAGGCAAGCAACAACACGCGAACACCGTGGAGCAAGTTGCATCTCATTTGATCCTACTCGTAAGAGATCCACTGCTCGTGCTGCGTGCTACTGACCAACAGGTTTGGTAGAAATCGAGCACGTTGTCCTCAGCAGCCATAAAGAAACTTGTGCAACTCTTCCGTCGACCATTAGTGCCGCTATACTCTGCATTTCCTCTCCCATCTCTCCAGCTCTCTGGGGCGATTTTCCACAAGATTTATCACGAAAAGTTCTTGGCCGCCCTCGGACAGCAGGCACATGAGCAGAAAACGCATGCGGAGAACATATTGAATTCTTTACTTTCCGGTGTTCTGGTACGTGCTTCGTTATATTTATCCATCACCGCGGACTTATTGTCCTTTGTAGGATTTTCTTGATGAGAGTGAGACCGGTACGTTGTGGCACTCACTATTCAAAAAATCTCATGTAGGCTCGTCAACAGAGAAGAGCAAGAGAGTCAAGGCGAAAGATGCTATCGGCACGGCTCTATACCCGGCCCTTTGCGAAATCTGCTTCTCACTCTCCGCACCTATGATAGGTGTAGAGCTGAGATGTACCGTGAGTCATTGAGGCGCATATATGCGCGTACATGTGCCAACAGAGACTTGTATCGTGCAGGCATATGCCCTGCTCTCCGATTCCGCCGCTGCACACACGGCTAACCAGCAGAGGCTGCGAGATCCGGCCCTCCTCGGAGGGTGAGTACTGATCTGAGATGTGCTCTTTCAGACTAAAATTTGTTTAGGGAGCGCCTCGGAAATGCATTCTGGAGGACCAAAGGTAGTGCCATGATTCGAACAACGGCATGACATGCTGAAATGGACGTTCTAGACTTCCTGCCGATGGAGAGCCTGCTGAACATCTTTGCTCGCATCCTTCCTTCCACGAAAGAAGCAGGTTCCAGTCGCGCCAAGCGCTCTGCGTTCATCCGTTCCGTCTTCGTATGTCCGCAGCTACCTGAGACCGCCGATGCTGGCCAGAAAGTAGCCGAGCTGCTCGAATATGTACCCTCCACGGAGTGGGAGGAGACGTCGAGGAGGATTGTGGATGTCGTTGCTGCGGCCAGCCTTGCGTTGTGAGTCAATCATGCTGCTCATGTGGGTGAATTGCGTCTCACTGGGCCTTGGCCTTGGCCTCAGCCCACAGCCCTTCGCGGTCAACGAAGTGTATGCGTGTGAGCAAGCCATGCAGTGTGATAGGCTGTATGTAGACGACAAGACACTTGTAGCGAACGTCCTCGTAGGGGTAAGTAACGATAGCATTGCATCTCGCCTGACCAGTTCATTGGCTCATTATATGCGCTCTGACATCTTCTATTCATCAATTTTCACAGGATGACCAATGTGAGGCGCTAGAGGTTCCTTTCTCAAGCGTGCGGAAAATCACGATCGAGAGCGATAACGAGGCTGCCGGTTCCGATACTCGAGCCGTCATCGAAATAAGCGAACCCCCGAGACTCGGTAAAGAATCGGTGCTCAAGAAAGTTCGGAGAGAGGAGCACACGCAGTGGACATTAGAGTTTAAGTTTGGCAAGACTGACCTAGCTCGGTTCACCAAGGCATTGCAAAACAGGAAACTCGTGAGTTGTCGTATTGCAGCCATGATCACCCCTCAATTGTTCGAAACTGCAGGGGAAGTATGTGAAGAATTGCATTCCGCCAAAGCTCTCTTTAGCGAAGTCGGCTACCGTCCTTGACTTTGATCATAAAGGGCAGCCGGTCAAGGAATTGAGTCAGTCTGAGGTACGTTCGGTAGCTACTTACCATTTTTAGAGTGACTTATGACGTGTTGCAGCGGATCGAGAACGTTGAACAGTGTAAGACAAGTCAAAAAGGTCACATCCGCACTGCTCAGCTCATCATTTTCCGTCACTAGTTTATCATACGAACCAGAGCAGTGATGACATCCATGCGACATCAAGAGATGACGCTGCTGCAATCAGCAAGGATCTTACATTTCCCCTGCAGGACATTTCGTCTGCAAGCGGCAAGAAGACCGTCATGAAGGCCCTTTACGACGATTCCACATTGACTGGACGACCTCACAATGCTGTTGCGCCCTCAAAAGATAAGGCGACCGAACTGCAAACTCCTCAGTCTGCTTCTGACCACAATGCTGAATCCCGCGATGTTTCTCATGCTCCCGCTGCGCAGGCTGTAGTCTCCAAGCCTCTTTCTACAAGCCCTCGATTGTCCAAAGAATCATCTTCGAAGGCCTCTGGAGCGTTGAAACGTACTGAGTCTCAGATAATGCGTCATGAAGTCTTTGGTGCTAGCGACGAAGACCTATCTGATTTCTCTGATAGTAATTCTGTGACCGCTGCTCTGCAGACTGTCAGGCGATCTCCGAGGATCAAGATGCAGTCATCTAACAAGACTATTGGATCTGTCCGCAACCCATCTTCGGCTTCGCGCACATCTCATGCTCGATCTGCTGGTGGTAGACGGATTATTGATTCTGATGACGAGATATCTGCTATTGCGCCTATCGGAAACATCAAGAGCAACAAGATTCGCCGCAAAAAGATGGCTATTTCGCGCACGAATGACGATCCTGAATGCGACCCTTCACCAACACTGGCGAAGGAGAATCTTGTTACTCCGATACACGGTAGCGCTCCATCTCCTTCAGTTTTCGTGACTCCGTCAAAACCATCTCTGGGACGTGTGCTCTCTCAATTGGTACTCCCTAGTTCTCCGTCGTCCTCTCCCGGACATCAAGCTGCAAGTGCTCCAGCAAGAAAACCGTCTGAAGCGGTTGTGAATTGCGACGGCTCTGCCATGCGCTCTACCAGAACGAACGCCGATCGCACCTTAGAAATGCCTGACCATATCTCGGATGTCTCTGTCCCCGCTGCTGATGTGACCCCTTCTGTTTCTCGTCTAATCACTACCAAGATGCCGAAGCCGGTTTCTGTGGGTGCAATGATACAGGACGAGCCTCCCCTTTCACCAGTTATGGATCAGATGGCACGTAGCAAGACAGCTAAGAAACCGTCCCTGGCTGATATGAGCGATCCAAGTAAGTCATGCTTGAAAGTGAGCCGAACGTCTCTAAGTGATAGCAGTCTCCGAATGCTCTTCTCCCGTCCCTGTCCCTGAGCGCAAGGTTGAACGCAAGTCGCTGAAGGCGAACCTCCGGAAGAAAGATCAGGCGCTTCCAGATCAAACAAAGGCTGCATCCCATGTCAAAGCATCCAAGAGGAAAAGAGATACTGCGATTGATGCGCATCATCATCTCGATGTTTCGAACTCTGATCAGATAGAACTCCAGCCTCCTCGCGGGAAACGACCCCGAAAGAGTGATGCAGAACTCACTCCAGCGGTTCCTCCAGAGCGGACAGAGTCGCAGGTGCTCCGACCGCGGGCGACAGCAGCAACCCGAGCCAAGAAGAAGTATCGTGGCCGGAAGGACCGCACTTCATCACCGGCATCGGCTCTGAACCAGATTGACTACGACGAGTTACCCAATGGTCCGCCCGTGGAACAAAGTAGTAGTACTCCTTCGTCTCGCCTGTCCGCTCAAGCGGTGCATGATAAGGTGAAGGCTGCATGCGAAAAGGCGGAAGTCTCACCTGCAGCACCTGCGCGGAAACCCCGTGCAGCGGCGAAGAAAAACAAGGAGAACCAGCCTCTTCCCATCAAAGCAGTCTCGGACAATTGCGAAGTACTGGACCCGCTTCTAGAACAGACGGCGGAGATTGGTGCTCTACAGGACTCAAGTAGGAGCGAAAGGCGAGAGACAACTCAACAGCCGACCAAGCCTGCTGCGAGGAAGGACGGCAAGGACTCTCGTACCTCTGAACTGAAATTAGAACCCGCTCGCGTACGTGCAACAGATTCATCTTACTATTGAGATTGCTCACGAAATCGTTTAGCCTCGGCGACGTCCAGCGGAAGCTCAGAAGAAGGAACCAAATTCACCCTCCGTAGCGCTCTCAAAGCCGAGAACGCGCATCAATGAGAAAAGCGAGGTGCATTCAGCGGTAATGTTCTCTGTATCATGCTCGTTGAAGTCTTCTGACGGCCTGCAACCCAGATACTCGATGCGGCTGCGTCAAAGGACAAGAAGCCCCTCAAAGCACCGTGGGCAGATTTCAACTTCTCAGCATCTCCTCACCGAAATGTCATGACTGATATACGAGACGAGGACCTTGCTAATAATGTAGACGTTGGCGAGCAGAACGACGTACAAGAAATTGACGTGCTCCTACCTCCGGCGGAACTTGCGCGAAATCAATCTGATCCAAACCGCGCGAATGACACATGCGACATCGAGCTAGTTGAGAATACCAGCGAGGTCAGTAAGCATGACTTTGGAGAATGACGCGTCTGATCGAGGCACTCACATGATAGATCAACGGGGATGGACACATATCTCCACGAGAGGGAGAGTATCAAGCATCCGCGACGAGATCAGTGAGATCAATCATCAGGCAGAGCATTCCACAACTCACATAATGCTATTTTTAGTCTCGCGGCGCTGTCTCTTCTCGCCAGAATACACGAGAACATGATTCAGCGGTTCTCACTGCTGAAGAAGAAGACCTCACCCTTGTCGATGTGGTTAAAGTTTGTTCCAATCGATCCTAAAGTCTCCGTGCTAACCCATCTTTATCAGTCCGTGCTGAAGCAACAGCACACTCAGTTGAAATATGATACTGTGTCACACGCGCAGAAGTCGGTACGTGTCCTAGATACAATAAGCAGCCTTCCATTGATGGCGCAAATATTGATGGCGCAAATACGGTATGCTGTAGCGTCAGCCGCCTATCCTGAAGTACACAAAGGAGCAGACCGAAACGATTGATCTAACTGAGGACAGCCCATTCGCAAAGGTGCCAACGAAGAAGAAACCGTCCAGAGCTTCGCCCAAACTCGACCTCCTTGACCTTGACTCGGTGGAAATTTCGACTTCAACGCCATTCAAGGTAGTCACGCTGCCGGAAAGGGAAGTCTCTCCTGTCCCGGCGAGGAAATCGCGACCAAAGCATTCGGTGACGTTCGCAACGACCATAGAGGAGCACTATTCGTCTCCGGATGATGAAGAACTCACTCGACGCGATGCCCCGAGTGGTGCTTTCATTAAAAGCAAACTGGACACTGCATGTATGCAGGGCTGTTCGAATTATAGACCATCACCTTCGGTGACTGATACGGAACAGTCTCTCCTAGCTCAATCATCAACAAAGGCGCCTCAACGAAGGATTCCAAGCTGGATCAAGGCAGCAGGAGTATGAATGCACGATCCTCGCGCCAAACCAAGGAAGCAGGAATCCAAGACATTGTCGACGTTTTGGACGAGATACAACAGGCATGTGCTCGCTTAACTAGCGTGACCATTCATGAGCTTCATGAGCGTCATAACTCCCTGTCAGGCTATTCTGCGAAAAGTCACTCAAAAGTTCGATGGCGTCCGAGAGGAAGTACGACATGGCCGGGACGCACTTATCGCCGACGCGACAAACGATCTTCTCGAGATGCGCGCAGAGAGGTGAGCGACATCCTGGACCATACACACCCGTCGTCGACTCTTGAACGTACACTTAGTGTGAATCATTTCAATCACCTCATTGATCTCGAAGCCGAGTATGCAAAATTCGGGCGTATCACCACGAGCGGTTTCGAGGATATGCGCAAGTTGAATGAAGAGATCTGCGTGAGTATCAAGAAGACGATTGAAGGACACGACCGCAGCTCGCTGTCGAAGAGGATGCCCAAGATGGGCTCGTTGCCCATCATCATCCAACAGAACTTTCAGCGATGATGTTGTGCCAGACCTTCCAGAGGAATGATGCTTCGCTTTGTACTTGCTGTGAAACGTGCTTTTGGCTGCTATGCTTATCCGTTCAAATTACTGGACACTTTACATTGAACGTAGCAAGTGCGAGCCATATCTTGTGTCTCTAATTCGTCGCAACGTGAATACTTGCTGATTTGCCGTGATATTGGCGTTTGAACACGTGTGTCACACTTATACCTCAGATCAATATCGCGTTGACGCGCTTGGAAGTCTTGTAAATGTGTACGCGATGCATAACGATAGCTGGTTACTCTAAGTGCTTCTTGCCACACGGATCTTCGCGATGCAGGGCACGGCTGATATTGACTGAACAGCAAAGCGTTCACTGGTAAGAGTTCACCGATGTAGTGCTATCAAAGCCTGGCTTTCGTGCTCGATGTCAACATCCCGGTTCTCCACAGCTCTCTCGCGCGGTCGCGGAGGGTTCGACGCAACAGTTTCCCACTAGGGTTTCTTGGAATCGCCTCAACGAACTCCACCCCAGCTGTCAATTGCTTGTAGGCAGCTTTTCCTCGTGCGACGTACTGACAATGTAACCTGTGTTTAGGCCAGGAACACATCTGAACAGGCCAGGTAATACTCACCTGGATGAGGGCGGCTCTGATTGCGTCGGCATGCGCAGGATCCTCTCGAATGCGTCGCTGGGCCGCACCGTTGAGTACGACAAAGGCTAGAAGCAAGTCGCCTTGGAAATCGTCTGGTATACCCGCAATGCAAACGTCGGACACGTCCGAATGATTTAACAGGAAGCCTTCCAGCTCCGCCGGGGCCACTGAGCGTGTGGTGAGCGTTATGCGATTTTATGCTTCGTAGTGTTCAGTTCCCACCTTGAAAGCCCTTCACCTTGAGCAGCTCCTAGATCATAAGCGGATGAACCATATGAGGAACAGAACTTTTCATAAACAGCAGATGAAAAGCTTACCTTAATACGGTCAATGACGAAAAGCTCTCCGTTATCATCGAACATCACTTCATCGCCTGTGTACACCCATCCATCCACGAACGTTTCCTTGGTGCTATTCTCGACCGTTATGTGCGCTTCGTTCGGATTCGTCCGAAAATGGACCACTCACGCTTGTTCGTTGTTCGAATAGCACAGAGCCATGGCAGGGCCCGTCGCCACCAGCTGGCCCGGCTCGTTGCGCGATGCGAGGCTTCCGTCCGCTCGCAATATCCGTGCAGTCACGCCTGGTAACAGGACTCCTGAACTACCTGGCGTAGCGATTTTCATGTCAAGTCGAGGCATCGACAGGGTCACGGTGGTCTCCGTTAGGCCTGGCAGACCCCCCAAATGAGATAACAGCTCGGACGTGTCGATCATGATCACACACCATAACCCTGTGCGATAGACGCATCTGGGAAGATATGCATGAGCTGTTGGGTGACCTCCCTTGATACTGGTGCAGCGCTAGAGAGGATCACTCGAATCGAGCTGAGGTCGTGCTTGCTTACTTCAGGGTGCTGTGCTCAAAGTTGAGTGATTGTGCTTCGGATGGGCTGCATGCTAACCTTGCAAAGGAGGACGACAATCGGTGGTACGATGCTATAGACGGGCATGAGCAGACTAGACGGAGGAAAGACAAGAAGGCACGCACGGTAGGTAGTTGATTCGGTAACGCTCGATGCTCTTTAGCATGCTCACAAAGTCGAATTTTGGGACTACGACCAAGGTCATCTGGCGAGCCTTATCAGCACAGGCCGCCGGAAAAATCTCTAAATGAGAACGTACGCTATAGAAGAGCACAGAGTGCAAGATGAAAATCAAACCATAGCCGTCTGGCAGACGTCTCAGCATTCTATAGACGTTATGCGAGCGAGACGCTCACGGTAGAAGGGGAGAACTGCGGCGATTGTTAATCAACCTGGATATGAAGACTGTATTTGCAACATACCGGCCAGTACGACGTCACCAGGACGATGCATCTTGCGCTCCCAGGGATTCGGATCCGCATTCGCGTACGTAGCGACTTGGATCACGTTGGCGATCACCGCGTAGTGCGGAATCGCGACTGCCTACGCAATCGTTCCCCCCGGAGTCTGAAGACTTCCACTGCAGGTGTGGCGATGTTTGCGCACCTTTGGAAGCCCAGTCGTTCCGCTCGAGAAACACAGCATCGCAATTCTCGTCTTGGCCTCTCCTGGCCGCAGACGGGGTTCTTTGTATCTCCTCGGCCCATGCCAGCCCACCTCGATAAGTGACTGGATGGTAGAATGCTCGCTGATCCCACGTGAGTCTACAAGGACGATGAAATCCGTCGGAATGCCGACTGCACGTGCCGCTGATAGTGCCACTGAGTATACGAATGAATGGACGAGGAGGTATTTGGCCTTGGTAGTCTTGAGCTGATGCATGAGTTCATCTGCGGTGTAGGCAGGGTTTGCAGTGCTATGGATCGCGAAGTTCAGCTCGATCACGAATCGTTGGGCCGCTACGAACGTTACAGTCGCGCCGATTCTCTGCAATGCCCTGGCGAAAAAATCAATAAGCCTAGCGATTTCATTAAAATCAGTGCGACCCCCCGGATTTACCAGAAAACCACGGGGTAATCTATCACACGACGTAGCTCGATGAGTACCTTTATAAATATAAAAGCATCTTTTTACGTACCTATGTGGTTTGGGCTGAATATGCACACTATAAGCAGTGTCAAGCGATGCTTCCTTAAGGATGGGAATCTCGCGCACCAACATCGTTTTCTTCTAAATACAGATCTCGCTGTCAGGCGCACGTTGCTGCGTAGCTGCACTCAGACTCGCCTATCGGCCACCTAGAGCTCAACCCATTTGCCAAGGCGTCAGTACGAAAGCGAATCTGTGTAATCGTGTGGGTCGTTCGTCAGCGATACATTGAAATGTAATCAATGAGCGATGGAGAACGTCAGTCACCTCATCTTCACCAATTCGTCTCCCTGTCACATCATCGATAAACCAGGCGTTCCTTGCGGCAGGTCTGCTTGGATGGCGGTAATCTAGCATGAACTGGACGATGGTCATATCATCAGGGATGGCCGGCAGAGGGCCACCAGAACCCTGTATCTCTGCCATATCCGACACGCAGTTGATTGGAGTTGGCAACGGGGAGACGTGAGACAGTCTCTTTACGGTACGCGGCTCAAGCACGAGAAGACGAAGCTTCATCGTCTGGAATTCTCCGTGATTGGATGCGAAGCAAATCCTGGGAACATTCTGAACGCCTAAGGTCATACGACCACATCTTACGAGCAGAATATGTTGAAGTAAGTCGGTGATTGGTCTATGGCCTCGCTGTCATTCAGCACCACAGCTAACTCGGTGAGATACATATCGTGTCTGCCGTGACTGAAAGGCTGAAACGTTCACAATTTTTATGACACCAGTGACACTGCATGTACCTGTTGTATCGAAGGCTGTTGAATCTACTTCAACTGAAACGGCAGAAATTAGGCTAGCTGAGACTCGCCAGAAAATGTGATGATTCAACAATATCAAAGTGGTATTAAGGCGATTGCAAAGTAGGAACGTCCGGAGTTCCGGCGCGGTAGCGAACGTTCGATGCATGATTTAATACTTACTAGCACCTTGCAGAATCATCCTTGGATTCAGAACCGTCCCCCGAAGTCGATCTATGCTCTTGCAATGGCGTTCGATTTGTTCACGACCAGTCAACATGATTGTCCGGTCGATATAGTTCCGTTCTGAGACATGTCCATGAAGCTGTACATTCAGCTGAAGCCATCTCCTCTCATTGCGTTTCGGTGACCGATTGTGATCACGATAGCTTTCAACTGGCAGGGTAGATCTGCTAAGTTATGCTGTCGGTGTCCTAGCGCATTAGAGGAGCTGAAGCTGAATATTCCATTCGGAACGTCACGGCTGACGGCGGCCAGAACGTCCAGTACCCCGGAAACAGTCACGCCGCCCGTCTCCTTCTCACTGACATGGCCTTGCCACTCAGGCCCATTGGCTGCAAGCCATGCAAAATTCCCTGCATTCAAAGGTCGCGAAGGCCCAAATTGAAGCACGGCAGTCACGCGGATGGAGCACGCGCCGTTGTTAATCCGGTTGTGTCTCACTGACTCTTATTTACGATATGGAACAAGCTGTACAATCCGAATGCTGATATCTAGGTTCATCGTCTGTAAGTCAACAAAAACAGCGACGGAATTTGAGGTTCATTTGATTTTAAATCGATTGATGCCAGGTCTGGCTCAGTGTGTCCTCCACTAATGTCGTACCCTTCACACAATATATATCGCCACGTACCGCGATTTGCTGCTCGTAGCTGTGATGCACAGTGAAAATTTGCATTACGAACCAGGACTGTGGGTGGGTGATAACATGCGTGGTGTAGGTCATGCTGTGCTGCCTGATCGCTGAATCGACGCCGATTGCACACTCTTTGAATATCTGCATCACGATCGTCAACAATCCTGTGTGTGGCAGGTCAGTACTCCACATCGCACGATCGGCGCGCACCGCAGCAGCTCAGTACGAATCGCATCGCGTTCGCTCCAGTCCCACTCGATGGCCAACTCAGCGCATTCCCATCGCAAAGTCGAGATCATGACGGCCCCCGAACAAGATAAGCCAACCTCTCGAAGTGGGTAAGTGACCCATCGCAGTTTGAAACATGGGATAACGTCTCGCTCCACAATCCCCAACTGTCGATCCTCGGAGATGCTCGCGCTGCATCTCCTTCGCCGCCAGCGTCATGGCCGTTGAAGGATCGTGGCGTGCGATGAGCCCCTCCTTAAAGGTCGACGAATTAATTCCTTTTTTGACCGTCTCGAGTGGCGGAACTCAATCGAGCACACAGGCCGCCGTTGCGGCAGTGTACACGCCACCGTCAGCCGGGTCGCCTTCCAATTCTTGACGGTCCCACCGAATATCCAGATGTCAGACTGTGGAATGAGAAGACAGGCCCTCGCACAACGTATGAACATAAGCCTTGCAATAATCATACTTATATTATGCACGCATAAATTGACAAGCTATGACAGAACGAAGCAGCTTTGATCGCGAACGTCGGCTGCGAGATACTAGATGTACATCGATGATCCGAGCGACTATGAGGAAATCAATCGCACACGTTCCCCCCAAACTGCTCAAAGATGATGACTATCAGCGAGCAGATGAAAGTGCGCTACGATCATACAGGTGCTTCTCAGGTTAACACATGATTAATGGATTAGATTTATATTGTGCGAAGGGTTCGCACAGTGACGGTACAGCCTGTCACTTGTGTCTGTACCGTACTGCACCTGCGCGTGTGCTCGATATTCTCCATCTCAGATCGTGGCGAGCCTTATAAGACATATCCGTACGTTTGGGATGGATTTATGAGGTGCCTGCACTTTTTCTCCTTGCAGAACCTAAGATGCCCATCCAAGCCAGGAAATCGGTTGCTCAGTGCAGAGCTATTAGGTTATGCATACGATCAGGCTCACCAAACAGCTTTCATAAATTCGACTATCGCGTGGAAGTCCTTGCGGGTAAGCCGCGGGTTTCAAGATGTCGACAGCAATGTGCGAAGCTATGGCGCTCGCTGAACGGAATACTACACCAATAAATAGCCTGAAGTCATTTTCTAAAGTGTTTCACCGTATAATCACTAGCGCGACAGCAAAAAGGTAATTCTAAACCAACGTCAGGCTCCCTGAAAATGTTCTTGAGGCGTTTTAACACTGAACGAGTACGAGAAATATAGGTAGACCGTAGGTAGCTGTGGTGGCCTCGATATTTATAAGTTTACTGCACAGAAAAGCCGGCATGCCGCACCTCGGCGTAGGATGACGACAGCGTCGAATGTTACGGTCGAATGTGTACACCCTCCTATTGAAGTTGTAATCAGTAAAGGATGTAGCTGAACTGTGAGGCAGGAAGAATCCTTACCTAGATCCATTAATCTGGATCAAACGTGTAATGAGTTTTGCGGGAGGAAAGAAGCCTTTGCAACGATGCCTGCTGAGCATGGAACGTGGCATTTGGAGACGTTGGCGGTGGAGTCTCCAAACGTTTCCAACGAACGCACATAGTCGTTCCAGGCAGTATCCGAGATCAAGGGCGCTGAGACGTAAGACTCAACATCCATCTTCTCAAGGTACTCCTCCAGTCGTTGGTAGACAGCGTCGATTGCTGAACTTTCCATATCTTTCTGCGCTGTTCTGTTAATCCCGAGCTCTTCAAGGTACCATGCGGGGTCCAATTTAATGCAGGTGGCAACGTAGAGATCGACTAGACAAGCATCGACTCCCGCCGCGACAGCAGCGTCATATGCGATTCGATGACCAATAGCCTGGACAAGAGGGACAGAATCAGGAAGAACCAGACGGTCGTAGGCAACGCTGCGATGATTTTTGATTTCATGCAAGTGTTCTCGGAGCTCTGCGAACATGCCGGCTTCATGCTTGTACAAGAGGCTGTTTTCGTCGGAAGTGTGGGGGATCTCGTAGCGCCCAAGCAGCAGTTCCGTCGCTAGACCTGAATTGTGACAGTCAGCCGTTTGACCAACGTTCCATCCATGTACAGTGACTATGCTCACGGACTGAGATACCCAAAAGGTCACCCTCAGCGATAGCTGTACCTCGCATGTCCGCCTGTAGTATTGCAAAGATCAGTGACTAATACAGTCGATGATGGAATACAAACCGTCACGTACGTGCATAGCATTCAGCTGATTCACCTCGAAAAGCCCTTGTGCACCGCATCGCTCACTCAAAGTAAGATGAGCCTCCTGTGCGTGTTGAATCATGACGACCTTCAAGATCGATGCAATTGCGTGCCGAACACGATAATCTAATGATGGATCGAGGAATAAGCTGACCGCCTTATCGTGCATTGCCTTCATGACAAATGCTCTAGCAACCGCAGTCACGATGGGGGCTTTTTGCGTCCAAAACTCGATGATTGGTTTGCGTTCTCCGGCACTGTTGACAATGGTACGCCGTTGGCTGTAACGAGCTGCGATAAACGATGACATCTGCAGGGCAGGGATGCCAAGTGAACCAATTGCAATTGTGCCGACCGCCACCCTGGATATGTTGTGGAAGAAGGCAGCCCGCGGATCTTCCGGTTTATCCAAGCTTCCGAGCAGTGCAGAACGGGGAAGGCGGACATAGTGGAAGTACGTGAGGGAATGATTCACCGGACGTGACCCTCCACGCTGAGGAAGGAGCCTAAGCTTGATTAGTTGAGAGCATAGATGCAGATTCGAAGAACGTACTTGCATACGACCCCAGGCGCCATGTTGAATCCGTCATGGAGGCGCATAAAAAATGCTTTGACTCCTCTATCTTCGTTATGTACTAATACTCGAGCAAAGACGATAGCAACACAAGGTATGCCGGCAGGTGCAGTAGGCGGCATATACCTAGAAGCCATTCTGGTCATCCTTGTGAACTAGATATAATAAAACGTCTCCTACTTCGCTGCGCGTTCATATGGCGTATGCAACTCGAAGTCGCCGCTCTCTAATAACGTGGCTGTTGTCTCGAGGTGTATGACATCCAAACCATGACCGACTTCTGTCAAGCAAAACTGACCACTGCATAGAGTGGTCAATTCCTTGATTTGGACTTGACACATATGATGAACGGACAGAACTCACGAGACTTTGAAATCTAGCACTTCTTGTAGCACCTCACGTAGATCCGCTCTTTTGGCCGAAAACATTGCCAGCGTTCCAGCGCAGCAGTTGTATTGCAGGGTAAGGAGCGTTCCAGCAGCACCATCCATGCTCCAGATAGGATCCGTATGGAACTCCCAAAATTTAGGAGATAGTGTGAGCAGATCTTTTGCCGTAAAGTCTATGAAATCAGATTTAATCAATTCATCCGAATGAAATGTGTATTCGAGCACGAACTGTAGACTTCCGCAATGCGCTTCGCCCGCTCATAGGTGACATGTACGCGCTCTTCCATCGATAGACCCTCAGGGTGTAGCTGGAAGAGCGGACTACGAGCAAGGTCCCGAGTGACACGCATCTTGTCCTCGAATCAGTTGTCCTTGATAGCGACTTCGGGATGTGGTGGTGGCGCACAGCTCGGATTACAACACGTCTTTTATAACCCGGTAAATCAGCCAATGAGTTTGATAAATGCACATATCGTTTTCGAAACGGAGACTCAGTCAGCAATCCAGGCCCGGAAAATGCATTCAAGACCGCCACAACGCACACCTCTTGTCATGTATGCAACAGCGCCGACATGGAGCATCTTTCGCTTTCAGATGCAAGGACATCGCCTCGCATCATATCAAACATACTAGTCTCGGCGGCGGTGCTTCCATGCAAATGAGGAAAGGGGTGCAACCCGTAACACAGCTATTATGATGATCTCTTGAGAATTCTCACTGATGGTGCATACACGAAGATTGTTTATCAAGATCCCCTGGTGAAATCAGATTGGGCTGCTCACCACGTTGATGACTGCTATGAGATGCGGATAACATATCGGAAACATGTGAACCGGTGATACCGATGCGTTGTAATATTGCCGCCTAGTCTCTGATACGTCAGGGCATGGGATCCATCCGCAAAAGTCATACCATTGCATGGGTTCGGGGTCCTCCTTTTGGCATTGTTCACGAACAGGGCTGCATTGTACAATGTCAAAGGCACATCATAAGATATGAGGGAGAAGCTCCATACCCAGAGAAAAGGCAAAGCAAGGGGGACCTTGACCTGACGGCCGTTCGCGCACCGATGTCAAATTTCCATCTGAAGGATCAGTTTTATCGCCTGTTGCGACTATTCTGAATAAGCGAGGCGCTGATCGGCTTCGCACCTCAGGAACGCCGGGATCATGGGTTTCGATATTCCAAGCATAGAATGGTAAAGCTCACATACATGCGAGTCGGCGATGACTTTGCCGGGACACCTTCATATTGCTCCATCCAAGTTTCTGGGGTCATCCTGAGCACTGAACGAGGCGCAAACCAGTCGGCACCCGTTGATCCTTTCGATTCCGGGCCCTGCGATATGGGGCACATGAGGCACATCAGATTTGTGCCAAAGTATCCCGAGAACTGAAAGTTGAGAAAATAGAGCTTACCCGACCTCGGTAATTGTACTGTTGAAGGCGCTAATCTGTCAGTCGTTGTTGACCTATCTATCAGTTGGACGTAACCGAGACCGGAGCTGTGGCGGGGAGAATTCCTAGCCTCATTTGTACTCCTCGACCAAAAACGAGAAGGGTGCGCGTCTCGATTTCAGCTCGGCTCTTCCCGTAGCGCAGTGCATCTCACGAGACCGATTTATTGCTTCCGATTGTTCGGATTGTTAAGCGCTAGCGCCGTCGGCGCTCAAGTGAGCACGGACTCTCGTCGTTCTCGGCTCATGCTGCTTGTCGTGGAGTCGGCGTAGTACAGGCCAGATGATGGACTCCATATCTCCGCCGCTCTCCACAATAAGGTTTGCTCCACTCACATCACCAATTGCCTTCTCGAAGAAGATTTCGTGACCGAGACACTGCGCATATTTAAGTTCATTCAGATCGATATTTGCATGTTCAGATGGACAGTGATTGTGTCTCAGTTTTATCAATATATTGAAAATGTAAGTGCGCTCATCGAGCAGTCAAAACGGCTTTGTCTCGGGAATAGATACCGCAGGCGATGGTAACGAAAGCAATTCGAAAGCAGCGCTGTCTAAGGAGCCTTTGCCCGGCCACTCTTGACCATCGCAGCAAAGTCGGCTAACCCAAACATCCTCGTGAAGATGAAATCCTGATACAACCGCGTGTCGTCAATCGCCAAGTGTGAAACACAATGATTTCACGTACGAAGCCTCGTTGGCCCAGGAACTTGTCGACAATCCAACAGAACCACGTATGAGTGCCTGCCCACACAATCTTGGGAGGGTTTGATTTGAGGGTCTCGGATACCACTGTACGCGCATACTGGTCTGCGGGCATGGCGCCCTCTACAATGAGGAGACATTGGCTCTTTGAACGATTCTCCATGATAAGTGAGCGATACACACCCATAATAGGCTTCACGCGTCTTTGCTGGTAGATATTTTCCATAGATTGGTATATAGAATGCTCCGGAAGCGTATGAGGCTTTACAATGTTCGTCTTCACGCTTCCTGATAAAACCTGTACACATGACCACCGCAGATTAGCAGGTAGCCTCCTGAGCTGCAAAGGAGTCGTACGGTGACAACCTTGACACTGAAGAACGATTAAGCTCGAACATCTGGTGCGATGCGACTCAAATGGAATGTCCAATGAATGACTCACTTGAATGGTGCCAGTTCAAGACGGAGCGAATTGCTGAATTGGGTCAACGCAGCTTTGCTCGCGTTATACACGGAGCAAAAGGGTAAAGGCATCACGCTGCCCACACTGCTTATCATGAGGATGCGTCCGTCACCTGATCCGATGAGCATCTGCACAAACTCCTGCACCATGGACATCGGCGCAAAGAAATTCACTTCGAACAGTGCGCGGGCATCTGCCATCGGCATGTCAATTGCAGGAACAAGAGGGCCTGCGTAGAAGTAAGCTCCATCGTCAGACTGTGATATTACAGACGGAATGCATAAAGTGAGACGACGCGCCTTGCCCACTGAGATGCGGAATCGGAAGGGCAATGTCAAATGTAAAACAGTCGAGGCTGATAGAGCAGCAGTGCGCACGCATTATTGACCAAGACTTCGAGCTTGCCGCCGGTAATGCTCGCGACTTCGTCCCTCAACTTGCAAACTGCCTGGTGATCTGTCACATCCAGCCGTCGTGTGATAGCTCCAAGCTCCCCGAGGTCATCAATGGATTCCAGCTGGCGTGCTGTCGCAAATACTGTGTATCCTAAAGGGTGTGAATAAGCTGGCGTTGAAGAATATGGGCGCGTTGCGCACCTCTGGACAGAAATTCTCGTGCCAATGCATGCCCGATACCACCTTTGCTGCATCCGGTTATCAACACATACTTGGTCGCTGTGGACATATGAATATGTGAGTGCTCAATTCCAACCACAGTACTTGAATGGGTGAGGACAGCAGGGCCCCTTGTGAGTTGCCGGCACAGGAGGTGCGCTGCACGCAACCACGGTGTTGGTAGTGTTCTTTCCAAGCGCCTCAGTGCATGCACTCCCGTGGGAACTTGAATCCCATCGACAGACGCCACGAAGGCGCATTCGGTTCATCGACATGGACCCCTGTCAGCCCATCTGCTGATGCTTTAGCTCCATTCCATGATACGCCTTGATTACCGAATCATTCGATCCAGCAGCTGCCCGCATACGCGAATGAGGAGACTCCGTAGCAGAGCTCTGTTTGGCGTGGTACCAACTCCGCACTGACAGATCAGAACAGAAACTATTACTGGAAGATCGCAGCTTGCGCAAGGCATGCTGTACCGGCGTCCGTCAATAATCAGAATGATACGGGGCACGTTTCATTTGAGCTTCTGAGCATTCTGATTCTCAATCTCGAAGTTCGATTACGCCCGGAAGTTTGAATCCGTGCTCTCGCCCGTCGTTCAGGGTGATATCGCTCAGTCCAGAGCCTAACATTTTCATTTCAGGTTCTCTTAGTCGTCTCCGTTGCAAGCGCGTGCGACGTAAGTATATACGGTGCTGTCAGAATCTGCTCTGAGCATTGCAAGTAGAAATGGAAGCGGACTCGGTCACTCCACTCCTGCTCCTTCTACCGTTGTGTGCAATTGCATGGTTATGTCTAAGCAAAAGGCGCCTAACAGTTCCTCCAGGTTCGTTTGCACATTGTGGCATGTCCAGAACTTACATTCTGACGTGAGGATAGGACCCACACCGCTTCCCATCATCGGCAACACATTCCATATGCCACGCAAGAACATTGCGGAGTCCCTAGCACTGCTCTCCAAAACATACAGTTCGGCATGTTTCTGGGAGGTCTGGTACGTGCTAACATCCCGGTTTTCAGGTGATATCATATACATGAACGTACTTGGACGGGAGCTGGTGATCTTGAACTCAGCCGAGGCCGTGTTGGAGCTGTTCGACCAGCGGGGTGCCATCTACAGTGACAGACCACGCACGATCATGGCAGGGGAACTTGTCGGCAAGAAGCACGCTGTACTGTTCCACGTCTACGATGAGGAACTCAAGAAGCACAGACGCTTGCTACGGAATGCTCTGGACTCCAGAGGCTCTCGCAAATATTGGCAAACGCATTATACGGAATCGTTCAAATTGCTCAATGCATTGCTACTCGCTCCGGAGCAGTTCGCTGCTCACTTTAGGAGGTATAGTGCTGTCCTCTACCCCGTGAACATAACTGCTTACACATGTCGCTCAGATCTGCAGGATCATTCACATTGAAGGTGGCTTATGGCTACGAAGTAAAAGCGGAATCAGGCGAAGATCGTTTCGTCACCCTTGCTGAGGAGTTGGCATTCGTTACAGCCAAAGCATCGAGGCCCGGGAGTTGGCTAGTGGACTCAATCCCTGTATGTGCGTATCCTGCACTTCCGGTTGGCTTACTATTGGCGTTTCGACTCACCACGTCACTAGTGCGCTATATTCCTACCTGGTTCCCTGGTAGTGGCTTCAAGCGGTGGGCACAAAAGGCGCGAAAGATAACCGACGAGTTTGCTGCTGCTCCTTACATGTATGCGAAGTCCGCAGCGGTAAGTCTTCATGCTGCATACTTGGTATGATTGAGATATTGATGCTCTGATAGAACAACGGTAACGGGACTCGCTCATTTGTCACGGATACCACCGAACTGCTAGAATCGGAACTCGGTAGATCGCTGAACACAGACGAAGACAATTTCTTGAAGTGGACCTCTGCCAGCATATACTCAGGTAAGTAAACACCGACTACCCTTGTACGACTCATCTCACTGCGTGAACGTTTCAGGTGGTACTGATACGGTGAGAAGCGCCCGCACACTCAACATCTGATGCAGCGAACTGAAGGCTTCATGCTTCCAGGCAGTTGCAGCCAACTTATCGTTCGTGCTGTTCATGGCATTGTATCCTCATGTGCAACGCCGGGCACAGACCGAACTAGATGAGATTATAGGAGCTGAACGTCTCGCACAGATGGAAGATCGGGAGCGACTTCCGTATATTGACGCCTTGATCAAGGAGGTTCATAGATTCGGGACCGTCACTCCTCTTGTTCCTCACACCACCCTTGTCGACGATGAATATCATGGCTATCGCATTCCTAAGGGCAGCTGGATAATGGCAAACACCTGGTCCGTCGTGGTATACATCACAGTGTTCGTTATTTTCACGTAATGCATATGCGTAGGGCTATCATGCGTGATCACAAGCTGTTTCCTCAGCCTGACAGGTTCTGGCCCGAACGGTTTCTGCCGGAGGGCGGGGGTTGCACAGTGGACCCAAGAGATTACGCCTTCGGATACGGACGCAGGTGAGCAATTCATATGCAGACTGTGACTGCAGACATCTGAAGTGCATACTTTGTAGGAGATGCCCGGGTTTGGTGGTTGCTGAATCGTCTCTTTTCATCGCTGTAACACATATTCTGGCTGTGTTCACAATATCTGACCCGGTCAATGAGTTTGGTGAGAAGATCACAGAACCGGTGCCCTACACTGATGCGCATATCTCGTGAGTGATATCTGAGCACATACTCTGGACTATGGCTGAAGACGAATGAGTGATTAGGCACCCTACTCATTTCAGCTGCAGTATCAAGCCGCGTTCCCAAAGTGCCTCCGAGTTAATCACTAACATTTCTTTGTGACACCCATTGTGCTTGCTTAATAACTATGTGTATTTCTATTGGTATATCCCTTCGCCACCTGCGTCTTACAAGAAGTCTCCGTTTCCTATGACATCCTCTCCTAGCCCGCGTCCAAGTGGGCGTACGATACGATCGCGCCTTCTCCGCGTCCTATAACTGTTCGCCCTGCGCCCGCACCCGCCCCTTGCGGATACCTTTCTCGGCGTCGTCATCGGCGTCTTCAACAAGCTTCTCGACGGCGACCTCAACGCCGTACGCGCATTGATTATTAAACTGCTCCATCGTGGCGGTATGAGTCGGAGTGTGGGCATTGATAACGCGTGTATGCGTGCAGGCGCGGTGATGACATGACACATCCTTGCACGTTGGCGAAGACGGCATCAACTCCGTCCTCCTTACCATTCAATACATCCGCGAATGCGCATTTAGTAAGCTCACTCGGCATATAAATCATCTAGTATGATCGTAGCCGAGAACGAGCCATACAATATGCGGCTGCACGTTCTTGAAGCAAGCATTGCGAGACCTCGTTACGACCACTCTTAGGCAGGGAGACAGTGAACCCAAATATCACCCATGAATCAATTGTATTCCAACTTGGCGTCAGAGAAATGCCACGAAGAGCCTGTTCTTGGTGAAACTAGCGTGAACACAAAATGTATTCGCTCTTGAATGCTGATCTGCATTGTATTGCCGCGTCTCGTCGCACCTAACATCTCGGTAGAAGAAAGATGTAGGCGAAGAGAATATTTTCAACCAGTCGTCCAATACATTGGATCATGGCCGCATCGGTGACATTAGAATGGTTGAGGAGATGTCTCAGCCTCCGCTGTGAGGTCGCAACTGTTGTTATTTGGCTAAGTGAGCTCATACATAGAAACAGTAATGCTACTGTCAACGTATGGTATACGGGTGCATATTACGCATCTAAATGAGATGTAATACATTCGATTTGGTCAAAGTGATGGTCGCATCGATGAGCCTGCGGCTGCAGCAACCGCCTTGGCCCAAAGTCTCTGAACTGATCCCCAATATCTCTTCGGATCCCTGCGTGCGTGCGAAATATGTTGTGTGTCCAAGAACTTCTCAACATCGACGTCGAATCCTTTGAGCACAGACTCTTGAATATGCGCTGCCACCTTGGGAGCGGCCGTGATCGAATCGCGTTCAGAATAGACATAGAGACGAGGCGTCTCTTTGGGATTGAGAGGGGAGGTGATGGAAGGTAGAAGATCAGGCGAGTTCAGCGTGGTTCGAAGTTCTTGGAAAATTGGTGAGTTGCCACGAAGGCTGTTCATCATATAAAAGATGGAATAGAGCGCGGCAATGGGTGGTACTGCAAGAAGGTGCAGGATAGGGTTCGACGGGGCCATGGAGGTGATGGAGGATTCCAAACCATTGTCACCTGGTGTCGAATCAAGCACAAGCGCGGTTGGGGTTTCGCTGCAATGCACGGTTGGATCCTGGCTGACAGGCATCTTGCGCAGGACCTTCCTGAGTGTCATGAATTGAAAGCCACCGCCTGTTCATCGCATACAATTAGCCATAATAAGACACGTTAAATACGGCATACATACCATTGGAAAGAACATGAACCAGAATACCTCTGAAAATCGCCCCATTTTTGGCCTCTGTCTGAATTATATCGACTACAGGGATCAGGAGTCTCTCCTGAAGAGAACAGTAATTTCTTAGTTACTTCATCCTAGTGACGAGAGTCCACTGACCAGCTGCTTCTGTGAAGTGAAGTAGAACCCGCTTGTAGATCTTATGAGGATTACATGGGAGGTAGGGAACGTAGACTGCAGTCCTTCGACATATTTTATGAGATGCGCCGGATGAGCATCCACTATGAGAAGTAAGTGTAATGAGGACGTCTATCATGAAACTCTTGCACGTTCATTCAAATACATACTCCATCCAAAAAGCAATACAATCCTGCGAGTGTACTAAGATCGATGGAAGACATTCTCCACTCAAAGAAAAGCTCACGAAGGATGCATCGATATCACGTTGCGACCTTCTGTCAAGTTTGGCGGGTACAACCGTACGACGGAGTTGAGATCAAGATAGTCAGATCCATTGAGCTTTCCACTCATCGTAGTCATTGAGAAAGCGGAGGCTTGGTGAACTTTATGAAGACTTGAGAACGGTGCTCATCGACCTGGCTATCAGGGACCCCGGCAACCCCTTGTCGGCCTAATCTCAGTATTCATAATACTTCTACTTGTTGCAATACACATGACTACGCTCTCATGAGCGAAAACTTCCGTGAAATGGACGAGCGGCGGAGATGCAGTTAAAAGGAGTGGAGAAGCTCGACCCAGAGGCGATGACATCTAGCCTGGCCAAGCTGACAGATAGCGTGGAATGGATGCAGAAGATGCATAATTGACGCGTAATGGGCGCTGGACGCTGGGCAGAGGGCCATCCATTTCGAGTAGCAGTTTGGACGTGAATGTTAAAATTTTGAAATGATGAGATGCTGATGCACCGCAGCATGGGCCAAACTGATGCATTCGGGGTTCCCGGATTACGCTGTGCAGCGTCCATCTCGGATACTCAGCGCTCCGCGGAGCAGTGATCGATGAATCGGTCACCCCTGTATCCTTTCCCTAATCATCGTGGCGCTGCAATTGTCGTTCGATCTCCGACTTGTACTAGCCATGCATCACCCACAGCCTATCGGCTCAGTATACGGCAATATACCGAGTGGGAAGCAGTCAAGATTGGTAAGGCTTCGTGTACGTGCTCATTTAGATCTATCAAACTCTGTTCTGTTTACTCACGGAGAACACGTTCAAGCGGGGACGGAGACGTTACGCATGATAGATGAAGGTGGTCAACGTTGCCGCTCAAAAGCATACGCCAGGGTTTGCCAAGCTGCAGTCAACTTACAAACCTCCCGAGTTTGAGAGATGGCCGAGAATGCTGACAGTACATCTGCAGTGGATGCCTTTGGCTCAACTTCTGCACCTGTTGTGCGAGAAAGGTCACGCCGAGATTTCAAGTTTTGGCTAGTATTCCTTGCCATTGGCATTGCAACTCTCACTACCGCACTCGAATTGGTGAGTTCCTCCGCATTCTATGCTCGGCTAATTCTAAGTGCGATGGTTTGTATGCCCTGATTCGTACTACAGTCAGCAGTGTCAACAGCATTGCCCACCATTGTGGAAGAGTTGCATGGATCCACCTTTGTGTGGGTGGGTTCTGCATACGCCTTGGCTGCGACAGCATTTATTCCGATTAGTGGAGGATTTGCACAGGTACGTAAGCAGTCTTGATGGGAATGTTGCCGTTATTCACGAGCAACGTCTCAACCTGTAGATTCTAGGCCGAAGAGTCGTCATGTTGGGGGCGTTGATCATTATGATAATAGGGAGCATCTTATGTGGAGCCGCTAAGAGTATGAACTTTTTGATTGCTGGCCGCAGTGAGTATGACATTGTATTTTAGACAGCATCATTAACATTTGGCGTTCTCAGCTGTACAGGGAATCGGAGGCGGTGGGGTTGCATCGATAACCGCTATCATCATTTCCGACCTCGTGCCCCTCAAAGAACGGGGCGTGTTCAATGGGCTTATTGGAATGTGAGTACGCGACGTTCTATGTTCCATATGGTTCATACTAACTCTGCCAAGTGCCTGGGCCATAGCGAGTGGCTCTGGCCCCATTATTGGTGGTGCGCTCGCACAGTCTGGACAGTGGAGATGGCTCTTCTGTACGTCTATTGTTTGCGAAACATTGCTCGGACTGATTGTCCTAGATCTGAATGCTCCTATTTGCGGAGCTTCTGGGATCCTCATTTTCTTCTTCTTGAGGGTCCGCACGCCTCCAGGTTCCTTATGGGAGAAGTTCAACCAAGTAGACTGGATGTCAGTTCGCCTCCTCAATAGTCATACATTCTCTGACGTCCTTTATCTTAGTGGCAACTGGATCGTAATGGCATCCACAACTGCATGCGTCATCGCATTGACGTGGAGTGGCGTTCAATATTCCTGGAGTTCCACCGCCGTACTCGTTCCGCTCATCATCGGCCTTGTCGGCTTGATTGGCTTCATAGCATATGAGGCGACGGTGTCGAAAAAACCCCTTGTACGTCGCTCGAAGCACCTCTATGATGTTATAATTATGAGATGGCAGGTTCCATTCATCCTCATGTCCACGATCACAGGCGTCAGTGGATATCTACAGACCTTTCTTATGCCCATAGTCATGCTCGGAATCATCTGTAAGTCTTTCTCTTTACTCAGGAACTATGACTTACATTGCCACAGACTATATGCCAACGTACTTTCAGGCATGCAAAGGCCTCTCCCCAATTGGTGCCGGTGTTGATCAATTTGCGGTGGCGCTCGTGCTCGCCCCTTCTGGCATCATTGCGGGAGTGACTGTCAGGAGGTACCAAAGTTATCGCCCGCAGCTGTGGATCTCCTGGGTCCTCCTTACGCTCGGAACGGGCCTGCTGATCCTCCTGCGAGAGGATACATCTCGAGCACACGCGATCGGCTACCTGGTTTTCTGCGGAATCGGCCTTGGCATTCTTACGACAACCACATACTTCCCTGTCCTCGCACCATGTGAGTTCAACCTCCGGCCACCATGACGTGTATCGAGCTCATTATTTTCAAGTGCCAATATCCCAGAATGCGCTAGCGTTGGCATTCTTCATGTTTTTACGCAACTTCGCGCAGGTATGTAAATTACGTTCCAGCACCAGAAATATTAATCCATCTCATGTCACGCAGGTATGGGGCATCACTATAGGTGGTGCGGTGCTGCAAAATCAACTGCACAAGAATATGCCGTCCGAATTCCTAGCACAATTCCCGCAGGGGTCATCGATTGCATACGCAACCATCCCGCTCATCTCACAGCTTCCGGAACCTCTCAGAACAGAGGTGCGCGTAGCATTCGCGGTTAGCTTGAAGGTCGTTTGGGAGGTGATGACCGGGATAGCCGGACTAGGGTTGCTGTCTAGTCTGCTCATGAAAGGGCTCCCGTTGCATGACAGCGTGAACGAGGAGTGGGACTTGGATGATGTGAAGGATAAAGATCATGAGCGGAGTTCCACAGTGCATGATGCTTCAGACTAGTAGTACTACTGTGGAGAGCTGATTTGGCGATACCGGAACACTTCATTTCATATTCTGTTGTTAATTGCGTTGGGTAGGCGATGAAGAGATGGGATGAAACATACGAGCCTGCAGGTCAGCTCCTGCAGGCGATAGGGCCAAGGATCGATGATCGGTGCAAATAATGTGGCGCTCAGAGCGTGCTTGATGGAATGCACCACACCTCTATACTGCCGTGGCAGGGATGTGAACGATCTGGGTGCGAGACCAGGAATGTGAGTGAGCAATTGGCAATATCAATTCAACGTTTTTGATCGAAGATGGTACCATGAACTCTGTGTTCCACGGCTGTTCAAACGTTCACCGCCGACTACTGGAACCGAGGAGATCATAGACCAAACTAGAACGGAATCGGCAGCTGCCATGAATTTCATTTTTTTAAAGTCCTCGAGCGCGATATGAAAGTGGTCGCTCAAGCGCATCCGCGAAGCACGGCTTTTGTGTCATGCTCGGTCCATGCGGCTTCTTGCGCTGACATGCACACATTTTTTGACCGTGTGATAAACCGATAACTGTCCTGAGTGCGATAGAACGTGGGCGCTCAAGCACACGGCGAAACGCGGCTTTATGTCATGCTCGGTTAACATTGCTTCTGGCGCTGATATGGGCCCATTTTTGGCCATGCAATACACCCATTTTGAGTACGACAAACTCCTTAGAAAATGATGCTCAAGAGCACCCGCGAAGCACGGCATCGTGCGACGTGTCATGCTCGGTTCATGCCATTGCTTCTGGCGCTGATACGGGCCCATTTATGACCTGCGTGTAAGATGCCTACGACCAATGGGGCGCTCAAGTACACCCGCGAAGGTTCAAACGTTCACTTCCTCCGGGCGCCTGGGATTTGAGTCCCATATTTCCACGCCACTTCCCCTTCCTCGCACGGCGTCTGTAATATTGAGTACGACAAACTCCCTTCTATGGCAATGTATTACAAATATTAAATTAGAATTACCTCCAAAACCTGTGTCGCACCTGTACTTCCAGCCATGCGCGTTCAGGCAAGAAAGGGCCAGCACTTGCCTTCCTTTTCACCTCGCAACCCTCCCGTAACTCACCCCGTGCCCGTGCGCTCTCAAGATGGCTCCTCCTGCACGCAACAACACTCACCCGTCGCCATTCACAAAGCTCAACTCTCATGTCTCTCTGCTTCGCCCACTTCAGACCGAGCATGTTGACCCCACCCATCCCTCGTGAGCACACATTCCATGGCGGTGAACTACTAAAAGCTGAAGCCCATTCTGCGTGTCATTGATAGCCTTATCCTCCTCTTCGGCTGGAGTAAGGCTATCATCGCAGCCTCTTAGATGCGCTTAGCTGACCTAAACCATTCCAATGGCAGCGGACGCACAACTCCCACATTTACAAAAATATGTCGATCCATTGATGTCTATGTTTCCAGCAGCTACACTCGTCCTCATCCAAGCGACAACTTCTTGGTACTTCACTAGTGAGAAACGACTGGTGAGTTTCTTGTACCTTCCAGTCGAGGGTCTGCTGATTTTGTAATGCAGGAGGCTACGCTGGCTCCCGTCGTCGACATACTCAAGGGTGAGGTGGCCAAAGGCTCGCACTTCGGAGGCATTCTTGTTCACGTTTTCTCCAACGGTACATTTCTAGTCCACTGTCCCATCGACGGAGGTCGCCTTACTGACAGTTCTTGCCAGGTGGCTCCTTACAGCTTGTGACGTTACGAAAGGCCCTTGCTAGAACACCAACAGCTATCGGTCATGACGCACAGAATATACACAGTACGACTGCCCTCGTATTGGACTCGACTCCAGCAGAGAAGGGTCTTTCATCCGCTATCAAGTCGTGGGGACCACCGAATCCCATACTGCACATCATGGCCATCCCACCTATCGCACTGCTCTATGCTGCGTTCAATGCCGTTAACACTTTCATATGTGGGAATCCTCCCGTATTCGAGGAGATGCGCACCACTCTGAACTCAGTTGACCTTCTGCCTTCCATCACCAATCCGACGGACCCTAAGGCCACACCTCGTCTCTACATTTGCTCGGACGCTGACAAGGTGACGCCTCAGGAAGAGGTCCTGACGCACTACGAAGAGGCATTGACGAAAGGGTTCGATGTTACTGTCGAGAAGTTCGCTGGCTCTCCGCACGTTGCACACGCTCGTAGCGATCCAGAGAGGTACTGGAATGCCATTCGCCGGCTTTGGGCTAAGGCTGTAACATCTTCGCGGCCTGTTTCTTCGATTACGTGATTCCACTGTAAATAATACCTCCCAGTGAGTCGTGACCCAGTCTGTAAGACACGTTAATTATATCCTCGCCTTCTGTCTCGATGCATCGATCGCCTGTAGCAATCTAGTGCCTTGCGTACATCAGGTGCCAATGGAACAGTATTTCTCACATAATTTTCGAAGACTTAATGGAGGGCTATGCGGCATATATCCAGATCCTTTCGGCGTCCAGTCAAGGCGTCATATAGGATATTTTCGTACGGCCCTTCTCGTCTCACTGCCCTTATGTGATTTCTGAATCAGATAACCAAAATGCTGGCACCGGACCTGTTTTGAAGGTGCTGAGCTAGGCGTACGGACAGTCATCCTCAACCAGCGCATCGATGTCACCATGCACTTACTACGGCACTGTTGGACACGTAGCGCCGTTCAAATTATTTGTGGATCCACGGCGAACAAACGGCAATGGCCAAAATGCGATGGACTCAGGCCCCCGGATTCTCTATCAGAACGAATGTCCGGACTCCGAAGCTGTTGCCAACCGGATTTCAGGCCGGGATCGGTCAGTTGCACTGGTAGATGTCAATCACACATGACTAGACATGCGGCAAGGACTGGTTCTAGAAATGCCATAGTATGTGCGATACGAGCTCGTCGACATCCCACAGTGGACCATCATACACATGCATCAGATGCTCAGCTCACAATCGCGCCTTCCTTGTCTTCTATCTCCTTATCGCTCGGCCAACCAGTCTCCTCCACTGTATCACCGCGATTTAAACCTGCTATGATCCGTACCGTGATGGACAGATGTGGAGCTACGTTCCCGCAAGATCAGGTTTCTAGTATTGTGAATGATGTGCTGAACGCAGTAAGGCTGCCTCATCATTCCTTCGGCAACACATGTGATCTCTTCCATGTATGGAATACCTGTCCACGGTCGCGCAGTCCGGATGTCAGTCCGATCATGGCGCCAACATTCACGGCACTACATTAAGCAATATATGGTGAGTTCACATGCATAGCCATCGTCCATCGGGCGCGCTCATTTGTTACGTCCCAAGCAGTATGCAATATGCCGAACGTTGTTTTCTTGTTGTCTGGATGATTCTTAAGCACTGGTATTAAGTCCAAAGCCTTCGATTTAATCGCAACTGGTGGCGCTCTGGATCCAACAACTGCTAGTCATGCCGTCTCTCGTACCACTTGATAACTTCCTCGGCGCGGCCTTTATCGGGATCATGGTCTCCACTGCGTA